TCTCTCTGGTTCTTTAGATTGGTACAAAATCTAAGCAACTTAAGAGATATTCTATTCACAACTGGCAAAGTACACACACTACTGATTACCTAGCTCCTTTCTAGATGTTTCCCAGCTCTCAGGTCTGATTTAGGTTAATATTGCCTTGGAGGAGGAGTTGGGGCTAAGTTGGGGAGTTCGGAGGGTCTTGTGTTCCTTGGAAGAGACTTACATGCAACATTTACAAAATAAAAAGCAAAGCTGAGGCTGTTATGAGACCTGCAATCTATTCACAACCGTGCCTGTGCTGCAAGAAGGAAAAAGGTCAAAACAATGCTATTAGGTAATTTTAAGATACTTATTCCTTAAAGACTTGTTACCTAAAACCTCACATACTAATTTCTTAAGGATCACAATGTTAATACATTTAAATATAGTTTGGCAGAAAAGAAAAAGACAAGATGCCTTCAACCTCCTCACTTTTCCTTCTCACACGATGGACTTCATCGCCCTCCAAAAGTAGAGGGTAGGTGGGATCCAGTTGTCTGTCTCAAATTCAGAGTCATGTGTTGGCCTTCCTAATGATTGACAGGGCAACTTTGGTGAAAGCCAGCTGGCTGACACTTACGGCAAATTGGAATTGAGCAGATCTTTCTGGAGATGGAGCTGGGATCCATCGTGATGCAAGAGTCAGTTTAGAAAAAAATGCAACTTAGTGTAAATTTGAAAACTACTGGGGGACTTATCAAAGTGGTTCTTTGATCCCTCAACTGGTATATCATCTTAAATGTTCAATAATAGAACACCTGCCCACATCTCTCAGGATAACTGCCTTGCTTTCACCTGCCTTTTTCAGACCCAGCGCATTCACCTGCTACAAAGTCCAATCAATGTGCTGGTTCTGAAGTCAAGCACAATTAGAGCAGACACTTTTGCCCTGCTAGAACTTCTCTTCTCCCTAGAAATAGAAGGCTACTATTCTTTAGCAGTTTTTAGAGAATAACCCCCCCCCCCCCCCCCCCCGCTTTGGTTGTAATAGCAATACATGTTCATTGAAGGCAATTTGGAAAACATAGAAAAGCAGGAACAATAACCTACATAATATCCTCCACAACTCCTCCCTTCAAGGCAACCACTGCTATTTGGTCACCATTGATTGCTTCCCCTCCCCCAACACACAGATTAAGTCATATACATATACAGACTGTATTTTTTTTTTTTTTGAGGAAGATTAGCCCTGAGCTAACTACTGCCAATCCTCCTCTTTTTGCGGAGGAAGACTGGCCCTGAGCTAACATCCCTGCCCATCTTCTTCTACTTTATACGTGGGACGCCTACCACAGCATGGCTTTTGCCAAGTGGTGCCATGTCCGCACCCGGGATCTGAACCGGCAAACTCGGGCTGCCGAGAAGCAGAACGTGCGAACTTAACTGCTGCACCACCAGGCGGGCCCCCAGAATGTATTTTATGCTTAACACTATATTCTTAGGATTTTCCTGTGTAACTCAACTCTTCAAGAAAAATTCTTTTTTAAAAATATTTCTTCTAAGAATATACGTAATGCATTTTCTCTATAGAAAATTAGGAAAATACTGAAAATCAAAAGAAAAGAAAGTTCCCACATTCTCACCACCTAGAGATGGACACGAGTAACTTTTAGGAGCATATCTTCTCAATATTTTCTTTTCATCACATATGCATTTTCTTAAAAAAAAAGAATTGGATTCAAAGCATATATATTTTATGCTTTTTCCTCATACTATATCATAAACACTTTCCCAGATTAAATATTCTGCCTTTCTAATAGTCCATGACACACGGATTATCATTTACTTAACCGTTATTGTGATGTTGGACATTCAGATTATTTTTAATTATTCTATTATAAATAATCCGATGATAAGTATCATTACTTTGGAATCTTTCCTTAGGAGATCTCTAAATCCCAATTAATTAGTCAAAGGCTATGAATACTTTTGAAGCTCTTCACATTGCCAAAGCACTTTCAAGAAATGTAGAAATTGGGGCCAGCCCACAGGTGTAGTGGTTTAAGTTTGTGTGCTCCACTTCACTTGTCGGGGGTTCATGGATTCAGTTCTACATACCACTTGTTAGCCATGCTGTGGTGGAAGCCCACATACAAAAATAGAGGAAGACTGGCACAGATGTTAGTTCAAGGTCAATCTTCCTCACCAAAAAAAAAAAAAAAAAAAAAAGGAAAGAAATTTACCCTACCAGTGTGAGTGGTGGCCCCAAATTCTTGCTGGCATTAAAGTGCTTTTTTAATTTGATAGGTAAAAAAATATTTTTGATTACCAGTGGTGGTGTACTTATTCACTTGCACTTTCTTTTGTGAAAATTATTATTCCTAAGTCTGTTACCTATTACTTTTCAGGGTCTTCTTTTTCTTATACAAGGAAATTATACACATTGATGTTTGTTTTTAATTCTGTGCCATATGGTTGTAAATCACTGTAGTGCATCACCTAATTTGATTATTCCTGAGCTAACAACTGTTGCCAATCTTTTTTTTTTCCTCCCCAAATCCTCCCAGTACATAGTTGCATATTTCAGTTGTGGCTCCTTCCAGTTGTGGCATGTGGGACGCTGCCTCAGCATGGCCTGATGAGTGGAGCTGTGTCTGCACCCAGGATCCAAACCGGTGAAATCCTGGGTCGCTGAAGTGGAATGTGTGAACTTAACCACTCGGCCACGGGGCCAGCCCCTGCTCTGAGTCTTAAAAATGACTTTTTAAGCACCTAGAACAGTTTCTGGTATATACTACATGACTCAAGATGCAGTTGGTAGTTATTGTAAGCTATTGTTACATTCACAAAGTAGAAGCATTCACTTCTTAAACTCAGTCCTTTTCTCGTGAAAACATACTACTTACATTGTCTGGACTAGGACTAGTATTTCTCAAACTGTGGAGGAGAATTATAACCTAGACAAGCAGAGCGCATACAAACCCGTTCCTTTCTTGGCCTTACCACCAGCTGTGGTGCTTAGGCAAGTCACTGCCCTCTCAGAGCTTCAGACCCCTCACAACTTAGATGCCAGTGCTGGACCACTTCTGACATTCTGAACCTAGTCTTCTGGGAGTGTCAGGGCACCCCGGAGGCCAGTTCCACTCTAACAAGGCAGAGCTACCTAACGAGACCTTACGTTCTTCCACGTAAGAGGTCAGAATAAATCTTTTAGCAGAAGGTAGTTTTATCCCCTCATAGCAATAACATCCTGTATGAATCCCTTGTTCTGCTGCTCTCTAGCATCACTTGTCACCTTGGACAAGCTATTTAACCTCCAGAAGCCTGTCCACTCACCAGGAAAAAATAAGCTTTATGTAAGGAGGCAGCCAACAATGTTAAATTATCTCCCTGTCTCTATCATTTTTAACTTTTCTTATTACCGGTTTTCATCTGAATGCACCGGGGAATGAGACATTCTGCTCCTGTCTCTTGGCCAAGAATCACCTGATCCTGAAGGTCTTGTGAGAAAACATGGGGAGGAAGAGTCAACCACATACACCACAATGGCGGAGAAAGAGACAGAGCCGACTCTTTTGAGAATTTTAGAGTAAAAATGACACTCAAGTCTGAAATAATTAACATGAATTTACTATGAAGAATGACCAACTTTTTCCCCTCTCCTTTGAAGAGATAAATTGTGAGATATAAGTCAGAGCTAAGGAAATACCAACCATGAGGGCAGCTTAAGGCCAAACTGGGCTATACGAAGTCTCTTAAAAAAGTCACATATGCCTAGAGATAGCTGGGATGGAGAAGATACACTGTAGTGTTTCTACTAAAACTTATAATTCTTTTTTGTGGTTAAAATGGGGGTGGCTGAAAGGACCTTCGGTTTTTAAAGGAAGGTTACCATGTAACCTAAGATCTTACCGGTCTCCCTTACAACAAAATAAAAAAGTAAAAACATTAAGTAATAATATCCTTACCAATCCCCAACACCAAGAGGTTTGCCTGTCTATCTAAATATGCTAGAAACACACTAAAAATCATGTTCAGAAGTAACAAGAAAGTAGAAATGTAGGCATACACTTTTTCAAGTATACAATTTGTTTTTATTTACAATGCCCTATAAAAATGTAAATTTAGAAACTTTAATTTTTATTAATTAGAACCAAACAAAAAAGATAAAGCACAGAAAGGAAGAAATAATAATCAAGTATTCACTTGATCAGTTGTGAAGGGAAGGTAAGGAAGGCGCATGGTGGAAAGAGTCAGTAGGTAATGGCAGAGGGAAGCTAGGTAATGTCACTGGGGAACAGCTGGTGGAGCCTGGAGCTACAGAACAGGAAGAAAAGGAGATGGAGAACAAGGACAGCTGGTTATAATGGAGGATTTTACTGTTGTACAATACATGTATGTGCAAAATGTTTATTCCGTTTAAATATTATAACCTGTCCCCCCCACTACATTCGAAAAGGTGAGAACAGTAAAGAGAGTGTCAGGACAGTCATGTAAAATTAATCCAGATTTAATTTTCTTGAGGGCTATAATCACCAGGGATCCAAACCCCGTATCCTGCTTGAATGCTGAATGGGAGAAGGATAAGTGAAAAGGATCACGGTGGGCCGTCCCTGCTAGGATTCAAACCCAGGTCCCAGGCTGCCTGGGAATGGGACTTGGGTCAGAGGAAGTAGCAAGGACAGCAGTTCTGCCCATGGTGTGGAGCAGACTGAAGAGCCAAGCAAACCAAACTTAGCTTCCATGGTTACATTTGGAGGTTTCTACCCAGGACACCAAACGAAAAGAGGGGAGAGAAGGAAAAGCATGGCTTACTGAAGTAGTCTCAGGAAGACAGAGCGAGTGTGCAAAGGCTACACTGTGGAAGCAGGCTCTAAGTTAGGATCGTCTTGAACAATCTTCCATGCACTTGAGGGGAAGGCTCAAGTACACTCTGGCTGTAGCACAGGAATAGTTTTAACTGTGTGCTGTTTCCATTGAGGACAGAAACAAAGGAAATATGGGGAGGAGAGAAAGGACTTCTCAGCCTAGAGTTGGGCATCAGCCAATTAAGAGTTCTGATTTTATTAAATGTGCTGCATACCCTCTATTTATATTAAAATAAGTCGAACCCACCAAGTTAATTACAAGATGGACTAGAAACAGATTAAAAATACATCAGCTGGTTTGTGTTTAGAGGAAGGATGTGTCAACTAAATACTTCTCAATCTAAAACTCATTCTTTACGGATCCTCTGGAGACCACATCAACATATGTAGAGGGGTGTGTGTGCAGGCATACACGTATATTCGTTTCTACTTAATTGGCTCTCCTATAGTCATATTAATATGGGGCAATGAAAAAAGACTTCAGTAGGATGAGGGAAGGAATCCTTTGGCAGACTACAATCTACTCTGAACTGGAATAGTGGTGGTGGGATAAAGGGAGAGATTCTATTTGTGTCTCTAGGGCAAAGAAAATGCAAAATTGAGAATTGAGTAAAAGTAGGACATGCAGAATTGTAACACAGAAGGTAAGAAGAAACCAGCAGAAGTATCACCCAGCCAAATTTCACAGAGCAGTGGGGAAATACCTGGCATTTAGAGACAACCCCTGTGAACAGGAATCAGTCCCACAAAATGCTTTGGGGAATAAGCTACCTTCCCTCCCTCATTAAAAACACTCCATTGGTGATGGCAGCAGTGCAGGTGGCAGCCAAAAGTAGGTACAGGACACAATTGGAGATCTTTTATCGTATCCCCTGAACTAGCCTATGGGTATAAAGAAAGAGAGAAAGGAAACTTGTTTGTATAAATGAGTTAAAACAGAAAGCAATCTTTTGCATTAAAGTTACATTCTTGTAAGAATTCTCAGAACAAAACAATTACGATATGTCTACCCTTAGCATTTAGTCAACAATGAGGGCGCCACAGCAACCAGGACAGTGTTTTATATCTGGTAGATACTCATATATTTGATAGAAGTCTCTAATTTTTCCCACCAAAAACAGTTTTAAGCCCCCCGACCTCTTCCTCATAACTTGTAAAGTGCCAACTTCAGTGAGATGTGGAACTCTCCTGTTTTAAACTTACTGCAGTTTTGTCTCCAGCAAGTTCAGTTTCTGTCGGTCAACATAGCGAGAAAAGAGGGATACTAGGTTTGTGGGTATAGAGAGTGGCTTGGCCAGGGCTGCCTGGGGGATGCGCAGAAGTTCTTGGGTTGCTGTGAACATCACCTCCGTCCTGACAGGGAAAACCAATAATAACAATATAAGGAAAGAATGAAAAGATTACCTAAAAGAACTTAAAATAAAAGAAGAAACACAGCCGAGACTGACCACTGGTTGTTTTGCGTTGATTCTGCAGCAGGGTCTGAACTCTGTAGGTCTTCCCCACGGCTCAGCACGACGAGGAGCAGTGACAGGCCAAACTACGAGAGGAGACAGAGGGAAGCAACTCAACACTGCACAGAATCCTCCTCCCCCACCGCTGAGGGGTCCCAGTGTTAGACGGGGAGCGGCACCAAATCAGAATGACCCCACTGCTGTGCTGTTCTGTGAAACTGAGCAAAGATGAAACCACCACGAGCTGGGAGGCTGTGCCTTTCTCCTGGCACAGCAGCAACAAGCATAATCAATGGCAACGCAAAGTGCCAGCGCCCAACAGTCCTCTCTGATCTCCACTCTACCCTGAGATGAAAAGCTAATTTTTCCCTGCCTTAGATAATGTGGGATTTAGCTTTTGTCCTATTTACTTAGAACAGAAATGGATTAGAAAGGGAAGTTAAATGTAGATAAATTTTGATACAGAAAATTAAAGTTCATGGAGAAAATAAAACACATTAAACAGAGTAAGATACTTTGAATTAAGAAAAAAGGTCTTAAGACCTGTGGGAAAATGTACAAAGAAAGGTAACTGGAATGATCAGGGTATGAAGAGAAAATTTCCTTAACAAAGGATACACCTATCTGGAAATAGGCTGAGAGAGGATGTTAATAAGAGTCTACAAAATAAAAAGAAAGGATAAACAGATATATTCACCATATCTAGGATTATACATCTTTTAGCAATTGAAATACGTAAAGATTTGTCTTATTAGATTTGTTTTATGCAGTGGGTAGTAAAAGCAGAAAACATGTAGTCTAAAGGGGCACAGAAAGCAAATACAAATAAGGATAAAAAGCACTCAGTTAAATGTATGAATCATAGCTTTAAAAGACCCTAAAGGGAAGCTGAGGATAGTTTGGGATTCCCTGAGACTCCTTTCTCCCTCTATTATATCACATGGCCCTTCATGAGTGCCCACTATGTACCAAGCATTATGCTGAACCATCCACAGCTGTTCTCTCATCTGAGCAACAGGACAACTCGGAAGCCTACACCATCACCTCCACTTACATAGCAGCAAACTGCTCAGCAAAGTGAAGTAATCTGTTCAGGGTCACAAACCTAGAAAGCAGCAGGCAAGGAGTGGACACCGGCTCTCTCTGGAAGCTCATGTTCTTTTTTCTATAGTACATTTCCCCTGAGTCTCTGGATCTTTAACCTGATGTAAATGAAATATGAAATGGGAGGTTCTACTGTTTATAGTCTTACGACAGAGACCACTAATTACCTATCTAATATGCTTTCCTTTGCATATTAGCATTCTGATTTTATTTGTGGTGACAATGGCGTGAACTAAAGGATGTGTTCCAGCCTTCCCTGAAGTTAGGTGTGACGTAGACCTGGCCATGGAGATGAAGTAGAAGCTGCTGGTTAGAACTCCTGGAAAAGGTTCAAATAAGGAAGACAGACAGCTGATCCGCAACTTTTGGCCCTCTTCGTGCACCTCTCTTCCTGATGCAAAGTGGAGCCTTGAATTCCACAACCATCATGGACCCTGAGAGGTCATGAGAATGGCAGCCACTGGTAAGGACGGCAGAGAAGGCAGAATGAGGAGCCTGCATCCCTGACGACACTGTGGAGCCACTGTACCAGATTTATTCCATATGAGATACATAAAATTCTACTTTGTGGAAACCACTGTTATTTCTAGCTTGCTACCAGGAGCTTTATGTAACCCCTGAATGAAAGAAGCCTTTTTTTTTTACAAGTTCCCACAGCCACAGCAGCCATTATTTTTATCTAAAATGCAAGTTTAGGAGCCTTGCAAAGCTCAGGGACAAGCCCACCTTGTTCTGGAGCACAGCAGTGAGGTGGGGATTAGAGGGTGCTGGTGCAGCTGCGCTCTGAGGTAGGTTCATCAGCTGTTGCAGAAGGCTGGTGACAGTCACTGATGGAAGATGATAGACGAGGAGAGAGAAGGGACTCAGTAAGCATGGCAGCACCTACAAAAAATAAACAAAAGCATTACATTCTGGCAATTGCTACGTCAGTCACCCTCCATCAGTGGGTATGGACGGAAGGATGCTCAGCTGTATACTCAACTGCCTGAGGCAAGATTTAACAAAAAAGGGTGGACAAGTCCAGAAGGTACTATGAGAGTCTTAACAACAGATTTAAGGTATCTACCGAGAACTTTTTCAACTTAATTTGCATGGGAAACATCATGACTTGTGTGAACCATGGGTGTAAAAGCACTTCTCAAATACAGAGCAAGAGTCATGATAAAACATCAGTATTTTAATTCATTCCACCAATATTTAAATGCCTACAATGTGCCAGACACAGTGGGCTAAAAACAAATATAAACAGGACACAGAGCCCCAGGGATCTGAGGCACACTGGGGAAGACGTGAGTAAACTGGCAATTTCAATATACTGTGAGAAACACTCTAAGACAGGTAAATTCTGAGTGCTCCAGAATTACCGAGAAGTATTTTCAGACTTACTTGTATCTTGTTTTATTTTTATAAAAGCTCAGTGAGGGAATGGAGAAATGATAACCCAATTTTTATGGATTACTAGAGAAGCTCGGTTCAGAGTTACAACGCTCTAGCAGCTAGAACCAGAATCCAAGCCTGCTGAATTGTAGCCTGCCGGTCAACTCTTTCCTTTTGGCCATAGGGCCTAGACTGGGAAGTTAAAACACAGAGCTGCCAATGTAACTGGGTCTTACCAGATGAGAGGAAAGCACGAGTGCTTCCAGGCACTCAGTGCCCACGGGTGAAAAGTGAGGGCTGGTTTTACTTGAAATCGCATCTGAGGAGGAGAGTAGACTACTTTTTGTGATCTATTTCTCTAAATAAACAAAGCTCTAAAAATTAAAGCATTTTAAAACATATACCAAAGTACAAAGAACAGTGCAATGAAGTCCATGCACTCATCACCTAACGTCAACAATTAAATCATCAATATTTTGCCAGTCTTATTAAATCTTTGTCTCTCCTATATTCTATCATTTCATTCATAAATACTTCAGTTTGTATCTCTAACAAAATCTCTCACATTACTGCATCTAGCAAAATTAACAGTAATTCCTTAGTATCATCTAATGTCTACTTCAAATTCAAATTTCTCCAATTGTCTCACAAATGTCTTTTAGCAGCTGATTTATTCTAATCATGATTCAAACAAGATCCACACATTGCATTTGGCTGGTAAGGCTTAATCTGTTAATAGGTCCTTTGTCACTGCTCATCTCCTTTTCTCATGCCATTTGTTGAAGAAACTGGGTCATTTGTCCCATTGTTTGGATCTGGCTAATTGTACCTCTGTGGTGTGACTTAAGAGGCTGCACTATCCTCTGTTTTTTCCATAAAAACTGATAGTTAGAATTTGATGTTTGATTAGATTCCAGTTCAATGGGGCAGGGTGGGGGAGGGGAACAAGAAAACGTCAAGGATAGAGCTGTGTGCTTTCGATGTATCGCGTCAAGCAGCACAGAGAGTCTGGTTGTTGTCCCCTTCTTAGTGAGGTTAAAAGTGATCAGTGGGTTCAGGCGTTGTCAGCCTGCTCCAACCATTAAGTTCCCCCATCCACCTTATACCTAATGCTTTTAGCACCAGTAATGAGTGCTGTCCAGACTGACTCACTGATTGCTTTTCCATTAGGGATTGTAAAGTTGTGATTTTTCTAATTTTATCATTTCTTTTACATTTATTAGCTGAAATTCTTCTATGATGAATTTTCTATTATCAACTCTCTGGTTACCATGACATTTGGTTGTAATGGAAAGGCAGAATAAATGCTTGATTCTTTCCATTATTTACTAATTTCCAGAATAATGAGTTGATAGCCTAGCAATCTCTGAAGGTGATTAATGTATTTTTTGGTATCATTATGAACTCATTAAATATATTTGATACATTTTAATCCACTGTGTAATTTTTCTTTCTGATACAAATTATCCTATTTTTGACCAAAAGGAGCCCTTCAAGTTGATTTGTACATCTTTTACACAGGACCCTAGTAATCTTTCAGACTCCTTGCCTTCTGGCACAAGATATTCCAGGATTATCACATATGTTTTATGCCTCAGACTTGGAATCAGCTATTACTTCAAGGCAATGGTAAGTAGAGATGTGGTCTATTACTCTTTAATGCATATAGGTAAAAACGCAGCCTCTATATATAACCAAGTTTTCCTCACTACTAGGGAAGTTCCACTAAGGCAGGCATCTTCGAATTCCTAGCTCCTAGCACCTATATCCAGGACCTAAAAGAGTGCCTGGTACAAAAGAGTCCCATAAATATTTGCTGAATGAGTAAGCTCTCCCAAACTTATTTCCACTGGTGAGTTCCTCTGAGACTGTGATGAGTGAGTGCCTGCCTCATTACCTACAACAATTTATATGCTGTAAAATAGCTGTTAAGTCTTGTCTTCTACTTTCTAGGATGACATCAGCTCTTTAAGCTTTCCTTCAACCCATTTTTCATTCTTGAAATGAATGAATACTTTAAAGTACACTTTAAAAAGTGTACTTGTCTCACCCCACTTCACTTTTCCCAATGATGAGACCTAAACTTCACATTCATTTCTTCTGCAGACACTAAAATTTTAAGAAGGAATTTTTTCAACTCATTATTTCAGAAGGAACAATTTCCAACTCTTTCGTGTCATATTACTTTAATTTCAGCATGACTTGTTTTCTGGGAACTATTATCAGATGGTTATTACTCAACTTGTAGTCTACTATATCAGGTTCACTCTCATGAATTCTTTTTTTTTTTTTGAGGAAGATTAGCCCTGAGCTAACATCTTCCGCCAATCCTCCTCTTTTTGCTGAGGAAGACTGGCCCTGAGCTGACATCTATGCCCATCTTTCTCTACTTTATATGTGGGATACCTACCATAACATGGCTGCTGAGCGGTGCCATGTCTGCACCCAGGAGCTGAACTGGCGAACCGCGGGCTGCGGAAGCGGAACGTGTGCACTTAACCACTGAGCCACTGGGCTGGCCCCACTCTCATGAATTCTATTATCTGATTCTCACACTTAAAAATACTGGTCATTTGTTCTAGCCTTATCAATTTCTTGCTTTCAACTTCTAAGACTATTCTAAATTCTGCTAATCTTTCAAGCATTTTTTTGACAGGGATAAGCGGAGAGTAACTCTTACCAAGAGTTAATTTGTAAACTTGATAATCATGTTTCAAATTCTAGCCTTGTTTAGATGATGGTAAAAGTTATTTAAAAGCACTGGCCCAGTTCCTGTGGGACACCATTCAACTAAGTCTACAGGCAAATGTTAAGTTACTGGTAACAACCCAATTAGTGATACTTTATATCCAGTAAAGTAGACAAGACCATAAATTTGCAAACCTCACTGAGCATCAGATTCAGGTGGGGACATTGTTACAGATTTCTGATCTTTCCTCTGTAAATTCTGATTCAGCATGTTTGGGGTAGGGCTGAATTATCTGCTTCCCAAGTAATTCTGATACAGAACACAGCTTCACAATTATGTCAAATAAGATGAAAATACTGCTTTTCTCATGTTTGGGAACATGGTCTGTTGTACCAAAAATGGGATTAAAAATATAGGCCCGAAGTAGTTAGAGTTTTGCTTTAAATAATCAAGTCATACTGCCAAGGGGTAGACAAAACAACACAGAAGGGAAGAGGGGAGGAAAAGAAATTCGGATTCTAGACTTTTCTCAACTATGAAGACCCAAAGGAGAGCCGTCCCACATGGTGGATCACCTCATCTTGTGCATCCTTCTTGATGAGGAAAGGGAGGCTCCTAGCTGTTGTCATGAGAATGTCAGCTGCTTGCTCTGTGGAGAGGAAAGGAAGAATGCGGGCAACCATTCTCTTCCCTTTTCGGATACACATGATCTGTACAAAGTGGTCATCACTTGGCCTGCAGGGGAAGAAAAATGCTAACTTCAGTCAGCAAGAACAATGTAAAAAATCCTTTTTTTCCTGCTTACGTGTTACTGAATGAATATACTGCATTCATTTTCACTCTACAATTATCTGTACTACAAAATAGTGAGAATTACTTCTCCAACTCTCAACCAAATAACAAAAAGTAATTTTTCAAGTTTCACAAATGTAGAAAACCATCATTTCACAAATTTTGCATTAAAAAAACCTGGTCAAACTCTATACATTAACTTCCTTTATTAACTTTTAAGTAACTACACAAATAACATGGTTAATACAGCAAAGTTTGAAAATACATATAAGCAAAAAGAAAAACATTAATAATCTCAGAGTTAATTGTATTAGTGTTAATGTTTTGAAGAACCCTTTTGCTGTATATTATATATTTTTTCTTTCATAAAACAAAGCAGCCATGAAGAATTTATATGGCTTTGTTACTTGACTTTTTTCATTCAATAACTTCTTGTGAACACTTTTCCATGTCAAGATACTTCAACTATATACAGTTTATTGGCTGCATAACTTTCCAATCTATGGATAAACCCACATTTGATTCAACCAGTTGCCTGTCAGCCCAACTCCAGAAAAGGTGTGTTGAAGGTGCTTACTCTTATGCTCTGTTTTGTGTATGTCCTGACTTAGAAGAACTGATTCCCTTGAATGGGGAGAGAGAGTTACTAAGGGATAGAGTCCTCTTCCATTCATCAAATAAATATTTGGGATTTATAGAACATTTACCATTAGCAAGATTCTGTTCCAGATAGTGGGTGGGAAACAGAGAGAGGGAAATACAGAGTAGAAGATATATTAAGCAGCTTAGCCTCCAGTGGAAGACTGCTTTCCATAGTGAGTATTCTACAGAAATTCCAAGGAAGTATAAATGTTTATACTTTCCATCTTACTAGGAAAGAGACTACATAAAGATTACAATGTTGAACTCGCTGGTAAGCACAAACAGGTACACTCCATGAGCTCAAAAAGAGAAACCAAATAATATTCCCACTGTATCTCCAGCACCTAGCCCACTGCCTACTAGAGACTGAACAGGCATTTGCTGAATAAATGAATTTAGGATAATGAGGTTTTTTCCTTGGCTGAGAAGGATTACGAAACGTTTTATATAAAATGACATTTGGGTTAGGACAGAAGCATAGACTCTGAGCTTGCTGAGATGGTAAGCAAGGGTATCCAAAACACAGAGTTGTGTAAACCTCAGTTTAGCAGAGGGAAGCCTGCTAGTCTCATGTTTTCCTCAAAATGCATAATTCTTACCTCTCTTGACCGGGCAATTTCCCCCTTAAGTTGTCATACATGCTGCAAATTTTGTGTTTTCTTTCTTCCATCAGGGCTGGTCGCTCTTCTTCTAGACTTAGGAGATACCGCCTTTCATAATCCTCCACATCCAGGAGTAAACTATAGGTCTAAGGGAGACACAGAGCAGGCCCCATCATGCTAGGTCAGGATCAGAGCATCAGACAAACGACCTCACAGTTCAGGACTACCAGAGAAAGGCAAAACAGTGAAAACTCACTGTAATAAGAACGAGGGGGGGAAAAGTTGCTCTTTTAAATCCAGAAAAACACCGTGAAATTACTTAAAAAATTCTTCAAACACCATTCTCTGACCCTCTTTGACCTCTAATCCAGAAGGCAATGATGGTGAAATGAGTACACACTTCTCAAATTTTCCAGCAGCAACAATAGCACTGTAATATAATGTGCCACTGCTCCAAATGATGCCTGATATTTATAAAAATGGTAATAGTTAATTTTACCACTGGGCGCCAGGCACTGTTCTAAGCACCTTGTATCATTCACTGAATGCTTGCCACAGCCCAGTGGGAAGGACACTATTATCACCTCCATTTTTACAGATGAAGAAATTGAGGACAGCACAGAAGGGATCAATAACTGGCTTCAAGTCGCAGACTCAGTTAGAAATGGAAAAGGCCTGGTTCCAGAGTCTGTGCTCCTAACCACTACACTCTGGGGCCTTGCAAGATGGTATTTATGCTTTACAAATTAATTGCCTATATGATATCTCATTTTTCTTAGCACCCAGCAGAGCGCCTAGCACCCAGGGAGTGCCCAATAAATATATGTGAACAGATTCACTGCATAGGCAGAATAATGTAACTTTTATTCTTATTCTCTTAGAAAGGTAACCTGCCCGCAAACACTCGGCTGTTAACTGAAAAAGCTCAGACAAAAACCTGGAACTTCTAACTGTAATTGCAGTATTCTTTCCATGAGGTCATAGGTGAGGTACCACATTCCTTTCTAGTATGCTCTCATGCACAAGAGGCACTTGACAAGAATATATTCATTAACTAAAAAATCACAGAACACTGATTGATTGCTTATTTTTCCACTTCTTGGGTACACACATATTTGACAGTTCCTTATTTGAAACTATAGCAACAAATTCTAAAACTTACTTTCTCAATTATGACAAGGGTTTTTCGTCTCTTGTCCCGAACCTGTTTTTCCTTTGTCTCCTAAAAAAAGAGACAAGACTATTCAAGTGAACTCTTTACTTCTGTTAAAAATAATTTACTAAGTGTGCATATGTAGTTGCATCGTGACAAATACTTGGAGATGAGAATCTTGACTCTCTGAAAGTTAATAATCTAAAACAATACTAATGTAGACGAAGGTCACAGAATTGATTTAATCAACCCACACACAAACAACTAAACTGAACTCATAGATGGGCACAAGGTAATTGCAGAATACAGTACAAGATGAAGTTGGCAAAGGAAGATCTTAAAATACATAGAAAATGGCAATCTCCAAAACTGGAGTAAACAGCTGATGCTTTTTGCAGCCAGAGTTACCCAGTGCAAAGACTCCTGTCACCCCAGGTCCTGCGTGGCTGCCTTAGAGGCAAAAGTGTTAATATCTCAGCATATCTGCAGAAAACCAGAATGCCATGACACGCCAGCTGGGAGGCTCCAGATTAGACTACGAACAACTCCATCACACCTGATTCCATTCCATGGTGACCCCAAGAGCAGCAGTGATGACCCAGACGTTCTTAAACACACAGTTTTGTTGACACTTACATCATCTTCACTCCGAGATGTCACAACAGCATCAATCATTTTTCGGGGATTATTCACACTGGAGACAGTCAGCTTTCCCAAAGAGCCCTCAAACTGCACTGCAAGGCCAGAAAGTTTCCAATAAATAAAAACTCAGCAAGGCAGGGAGGCAGCTTTCAAAGAAGATCTTTACATTCTCTATTCTTTACTCACAGTCTAACAACTTACTATAAAAATCTATGTATTATCTAAAGCAATCTCTAAATCTATGCTTTCCCATTTTTTGTTGTTACAAGAATAATCAAATAAAAAAATCTGAAGTATTTTCCTCTTATCTATTGTAGGGATACTAGAAATTACAACAGGTTTTAAAAAGTTACGGAGGAGGCTGCCCCGTGGCCAAGTGGTTAAGTTCATGTGCTCCGCTTCAGTGGCCCAGGGTTCACCAGTTCAGATCCTGGGCATGGACCTAGCACAGCTCATCGAGCCATGCTGTGGTGGTGTCCCACACAGAAGAATTAGACTGACTTCACAATTAGGCCATATAACTATGCACTGGGGCTTTGGGGAGAGCAAAAAAGAGGAAGATTGGCAACAGCAGTTAGCTCAGGGCCAATCTTTAGAAAAGGATCTAAAAGGTCATCTGTCAAACCATTCACTTCATGCCTGAATAAAGTCTGACCTCTGCATTTATTAAGGACAATGGTACTTTATCAGTTTCAAACATCTCTATCCAATTATCTTAAAGTTATTTATGTCTTATCCTATCAGCAGCATGTCAAGCTTCTCTTCTTATGGGCCTGGGGTTAAGGACCTTACCTGGCTTATAGGTGTGCTCCAGTTTGGCCACCTGAGGGGTAATGAGCTTGGTGCGCTCCTTTTTAGGGCCATCACCTTGCACTTCTTCAGCAGCTGACAGTTTCTCCAGTTTTTCAAAGTAATTCTACCACATGAAAAGATGATTTCAGTTGTAATACAAGCACAGAATACGGCTGCTCTTTATCATTAAATAATTTACACTAGTGGCAGTAACACAACTTAAACTCTACAGACTTTTGTTGGACTGCTATAAATTTACTTTACCAAAAGTCCAAGCTTTCAAAAAAGCTAATCACCAATGGAAATATCTTTAAAGTTAGACTGCCAATATTCTTAATCGAAAGAACCAGATTATTGATGCCAAATGGATTTGAAAAAATTGGTCCGAGAGCCTCTATGTGTAAGAAATAAAAGACACATATGCAAACAGTGTGAGAGGTTCTCCCGCTTGAAAAGAGGACAGAATTTGCTGAGTCAATTCTTATCCACTTGACTACCTCAAAAGAAAAGTCTATCCATATTTAATTCTACCAATATTTAAATGAGTGCCTTCACCAGAGTAAGGGACTAACCTGTCATCCTCAAAACTAGCGACTATTTACCTGGTAATAAAAATCATCCAGGTAGGGATCAGTGCTTTGCAGCTGCATCATCTGGATTTTAGAGACCCAATCCTTTTCTCGCTGCAACATGAGATTGGCATATGGATCCTTCCGGAGATGATCGTGATGACTGCTCCGGTGACTTCCTCTATCTCCCGCACCATTGAGGTTCCGATGCTGACTGAAAAACAAACAGGTGCCACATTCACTCTAGGGGGGTACATTCTCTATGCTTGACACAATGTGACAATAAACCAGGCCAATTAAAAGAAAAAAAGATTCTCTTTGCTTTCGTTCAAAGAGTAGTGAAAAAGAATTGAATCTTAACAGAATTTGAGAGGGAAGAGCTACGCAATACATAGTTAAGGAGATAAAACTGAGATCTGAGTGCCTTACCATATGCGAAGTGCTTTCACCTACGGACTTTTGTAAAGGCCTACAGTAACCCTATGAGGAAGGCAGTTTTATTTTCTCCACTTAAGACAACAAACTGAGGCTAAAAGAGAGCAAGTAATTTGTCCAAAGCTGTACACCTGGTGGAAAGCAGGAGCGTTGAACTTGGGCCAATTTGACTCAGTCCATATACTTTTTTTAACTTGTTGAAAAATCACAAAATACTTCAAATATAGAGAAAAGCCCAGCAAATTCTGTAACTAACATCCATTTACCCACCACCTAGACTTAATGAAAAAAATTTATTTGGCTAAATTTGCCTCAGATGTTTACAAAGTAACATTAAAGTAAAGCACCGTTACAGTCACAGCTGCAGGCCCTCTTACCCTCTGGATCCCAGTTTCCACCTTCCCCTTCTTCCTGGAGGAACCACTATCCTGCCTTTGGCATGTGCTGTCCCTGAAATGTTCTTAGACTTTTACTGCTTGTGTGTCCACCTTTAAATATTATACAGTATTAGTCTATGTGCCTTTAAGTTTAACATAAATGGCACTAGACATATAATTCTTTTCCTTGCTTCTTATTCAACATTACGTTCTTCATATTTATCGGTGTTGACAATACACCCCGGTATAGACCAAAAAGTAGAATTGCTAGGATGTGGTGTATCCACATTTTCAACCTTATCATTTACTGCCAAATTCTCTCTCAAGAAGCTGTATACACCATTCTTGCCAACAATGACAGTGTTCAGACACTTGAAGTTTTGCCTGTCTGATGATGTAAAATGGTTATCTAATTTTAATCCGCAATTCTCAGTTTATGAGTGAGCCTGAAAATCTTTTCATTTTTATGGGCCATGTAAGTTTGCTCTGCTGAGAATTGCATGTTTGCGTGTATCTTTTTTCTGTATAGAAGGTTAGTATATTTAAAAAAAATTTTCTTAAACATGTTTTTAATAGCTTTATTGAGGTATAAATGATATACAAAGAACTGCCCCTATTTAACGTGTACAATTTGTTAAGTCTGGACATATGCAAACACTTGTAATACCATCACCACAAATAACAGACATATCCAACACCTGCCAGAGCTTCCCTGTATCATAAGAATACTTAACTTGAGGATCCACCTTCTTAACAAATTCTGAAGTACACACCACCATATTGTTAACCATAGGCACTGGAAGTTTCATATTTTAACACCATCAAATGTATTAATCTTTTCCTTTATGGTTTGTACTTTTTTTTTTGAGGAAGATTCACCCTGAGCTAACATCTGTTGCCAATTTTCCTCTTTTTTTTCCTCCCCAAAGGTCAAGTACTGTCGTATATTCTAGTTGTAAGTAACTCTAGTTCTTCTATGTGGGACACCGCCACAGCATGGCTTGATGAGCAGTGTGTAGGTCCGTGCCCATGATCCGAACCAGCAAACCGCTGGCCGCCAATGCAGAGAGCACAAACTTAACCACTCAGCTGCAAGACTGGCCCCCTGTACTTTTTTGTGTCTTGTTTTAAGAGCCCATATATGTTTTTTCCCTGCAAAAAATATTCTAGAACTTCTTTGAAAGTGAGAAGAAATTACACACACAGAACCATAAAACTGAAGGTTGAAGGAACCTCAAAGTTCTGTTTTTCTTATTTTATTTATATATGAATGATATCAGCTCCATGAAGGCAGGGGTTTAACGTGTCTTACTCCTCTTTTACCCAAAACCTACCACAGTGCCTATTTCACAGCTGGGGCCACATATATAAATACATATATTTGTTGAACGACGATTAAATAATTAGAGGCAAAAATAAAGAGTGACTGTCGGCTTTACATAGAACCCAAATACAAGGCTAGCCAACATATTTCAAACAAAATATTGAAAAAAAAAATATTTAAAAAAAAATGTTGGTAAACAAAAGGTAGGTAGGCGTATGGTAAGAACTTGGTAAGGAGCATAAAATGCTGACCAAAAAAAGGAAGAAAAAAATCAGATGTAAACTGTATGTGTGATTTATGATCAACAGAATTTTAATTAACTTGGAAATTGATAAAATCTTGTCATTTAAAGCCTGTGTATCAAAAACGTGGCCAGCCTTGGTGTTCTAGTGTTTAAGGTTTGGTGCTTTTACTGCCACAGCCTGGGTTCATTTCCGGTCAGGGAACCACAGCACCGGTCTGTCAATTGTCAGACTGCAGGTGACTGCATGTTGCTGTGATGCTGAAAGCTGTACCACTGGTATTTCAAATACCATCAGGGTCACCCATGGTGGACGGGTTTCAGCAGAGCTTCCAGACTAAGACATATGTAGAAAGGAGGACCTGGCCACCCACTTCTGAAAAAACTGGCCATAAAAACCCTAAGAACAGCAGCAGAGCATTGTCTGATAGAGTGCCAGAAGGCGAGAGGGTGGCACAGAAAGACCAGGCAGAGTTCCACTCTGTTGTACACAGGGGCGCTACAAGTCAGAATCCACTCCACGGACCTAACACATATCAAAAACTTAACACCAACAATATCATATCAATAACAAATCAAAACAGCATATATGATCTGACTTTACCAGTAAAATAAGCTCAATACTAATTACATTTACTAAAAAAGTAAACTAAATTAGTAGCACCTTGTTACACTATCAAAATTAAACGCTGAATTAAGAAACCACAAAGGAGTAGGATGGTACTTACTTTCTGTTCTGCTGTTGTCTCTGATGCAAGAGTCGACGGTGCTGTGGATGAAGGTGAGTTGTGTCTGGTCTAAACATTGGGGCCTGAGATCTAAGAAAAACAGGAAAAAGTTTTCACTTTTGCTGTCCTGATGATTGGAAGTTTTAAAGAATGCTGTCAGTAAAGGATAATTTCATACAGGTTCACCCATGGCAACGCTAAAGTGCATTCTAAGGAGATCTCTCAGAAGGAAAAGACATGCATATTTTTATGTGTCCCAAAGGGCAATTCTCAAATCCTAAGAGGAAGATCATAAAATTGGAATGAATTAACAGTAAAGCAACATAATTCTTTTTCTTTTTTGCTCCTAACTGTTAAACATAAGTCTCTAAACAAATTTAATATACTTAGTTTCAACTCTTGGGAATGACACTGAAAATGCATATGTGATGGTTACTTTTATGTCAACTTGGCTAGGCTAGTACCCAGTTGTTTGGTCAAATATTATTCTAGATGTTGCTGTGAAGTTATTTTGTAGATGTGATTAACTTTTACAATTGGTTGACTTTAAGAAAAAAGCCATGACCCTCAATAAGGTGGGTGGGCCTCACCCAATCAGTTGAAGGGCTTAAGAGCAAAAACAGGTTTCCAAGAGAAGGAATTTCGCCTCAAGACTGTAACATAAAAGCCCTGCCTGAGTTTCTAGTCTGCAGGCCTCCTCTATGGATTTCAGACTTGCCAGCCCGCACAACCACGTGAGCCAATTCTTTAATACAAATCTCTTCTTACATATATATCCTATTGGTTCTGTTTGTCTGGAGAACCCTGACTGATACAATATACTATGTAATAAAACACAATTTTGCTGAAGCAGGAAATTGAACCTCCCTGTTATAAAACCAGGGTAGAAGCAAGCACTGAGATTAGCTGGCTACTCAGCATCTATATCTCTGTTCCTTGGCATATGGAAATTCTTGTCAAGAGATAGGCACTCAGTGTATATGTGAGTAGATATGTGTTTGTAAAATGGATAGAAAGTGAGACACAAGAAACTTTAGAAAAAATAAAAGAGGTGATTAACTAGCGATGTGCAAATGTACACAGGAAACATGTGACTCGAGGGAACTGTGATTCATAAGAAAGCCTGGAGACAGTCAAATATTTCTCTGTTCAGCAACTTGAGGATCCAACAATATCTCAAAATAGCTCCCCTGCAACCCTCGAGAGACATAGTATAACACTAACCCTCAATGATCCAGAGACCGGGCTGACATTGAATACACAGTGGCGTCTGTTTGTGTACCTTAGGTTTTGCAGGTGAGGTCCTGGGCCAGGGGGGTGCTGCTGTGGAGGAGGTGGGGTAGCGGGGGGTGGAGCACTAAAGAAGGCACGGAAGCCTGGTGCGGGGGGAAGCATCTGCCCAACTCGCCCTTGCAGCAACTTGGGATTCATGGCAGCAGCAAGTGGACTGCCAACAAATCCAGGGACCCGTGCAAACTGGCTGGGAGACATCCGTCCAGGCTGCAGCTATAAAGAGGGACAAGATTTTAGATTTAGTTATCAGCAAGTCCCCCTGCTTTTATCCACAGAAAAGTGAATACTGTTTCCATCAATAATTTTGTTTGAAAAACTAAAGGAAAAAATAAGGGGCAGTAGAGACTGATTAACAGCAAAAAAAAAAGGGGGGTGGGTATCATCTAACAACTCTTCAGAAAGTGCGTGAGCTCTTCATAGGTCGGGCTTATCACAGGCTTACCTGTGCTCCTCCAAGAAGCTGTGCTCTCTGGAGGGGGCTGAGAACAGGAGGAACACTAGGAGGGAAAGGGTGACCCAGTAGGGAAGAGTTCTAAGGGAAAAAAAGAAAAAATTGTACTATGAAACAAATTAATATAGTAAGGGAATTCACTAGAAAGGCAGAATAAATTTGGATATAAAAACTCTCAAATCGTACAGTGAAGCTGTCCACTGAATCTAAAGAGAGTAATGCTAGAAATTATGAAGCACTATGATCATGTAACATGAAAAAGAAAGCACTAGAATGAGGGACTGAAATAGCAGGAAACCAGACGATGACACCAAGTTTAGATTTTTAAAGATAAGAAAAGAGTTGAGGTGAGAAACAACTAAACATGATGAAGCACGTCTTCTGATCTGGGGACCAGAAGATCCAGAAATTCAAGTATGGAGATTATAAAATATGTATAAATCAGGAGATGTCTGCATACTTGCAGCGATCAGCAAAGACAATGCACATCTTCATTAGGTAGTAAAGTGACGCACCGGGACACTGCAGAGCTGGTTTGGAGACATCCTCTCACCATAGGGAGCAGGATAACGCGGTGGCATTGGGGGCCGAACATGGACAGGTTTCGGGCACAGAATCTATCAGGACAAACATATATACAACTACACTCAGTGAAGCCAGTTTTTCCTCTACCTACACTCCCTCCCCTCAAGTACTGGTAGAGACACTGAACTCAATGCAAAGCCCTACTTCTAAGCAAACGGCTACAGCTATGGGTTCACATCCAGAGCCTTTGGTCACTCCTCTCACAACAACACGCCACCTTTAACTGACGAAGATTTAGCTAATTCTCCAGTTATCCCCACCCTTCCATGCTATCTGAGGGAGGTAGCAGTAGATATTCTGACTTGCAAATTCTCTCCAAAAGGATGTATTTTGGTAGCAGTGAGGGAGAAGGAATGATAAGAAAGCTGGAGGATTAACTAAGTCCTATTCTGAAGCCCCTGTGATATGGCCGCCATGCTCAGCTCTTTCGTGATACATTGTGACTCCACCATTTCGTAGGATGTTGAGCCTAACTAGGCCATACCAACACCACCCTCCCCCCATACCTTCCAAATTGGCCTTCCTTGGCAGCTGCTGGTTTCAGGTGGAGGAAAGTCTATGGAACAGGACTGCACAGGCTCTAGGGAAAGCAGGGATATCTTAAAGGTAAAAAGGGACGTGCACAATGCTGTGTGTTCCCACTCCCCCCAGCTTTCAGTTACCTCTCTGCCAAGGTTTTGGGCAGCCAGCAAAGCATTTTAAAAAGGATAAATACACTAAATGTGGTTAACTACCCTTTTTCTCCCCCAATTAAAAGGCAGCAGCAACAGGAGCAGCACCAGCAAAGGTCATTAGGGAATGTGTCTCTTATTTGTACTAACTTCTCCTCTAATTGGCTCTTTTTCTTTCTAATCTAATGCCTACCCGAAACTTCCACCCTCCTCCCAGCATCACCAATTTCCCAAGTAATTTTGCCCAGATTCCCAATATCCTGGGCTGAGTGCCTGTTAATGAAAGGTACCTGCTGGTTGAAGCTGGGTACAGCCATCTGCTTGGGTGGGGTGCCTATGGGGACAGCTCTAACAGGAGGACTCCCAATGACAGGTGACGTTGACCGCCGTGGTAATGCACGCTCAGAAAGGTCCCGATCGTCTTCAGGGGCCTGTGGGGTCCTCTGAGGCAAGGCATATTCTAATACAGACACTGCAGGCATTTCCTAATTGAGGAAGTAGTAAAAAAAAAAAAAAAAAAAAAAAAGAGGAAAAAATTAGCTAACTTGTAATGTTTTAATAATCTCTACAGATGCCAAACTATCTTTAGAAATTATTTTTTATATTTTTATTTCATATCCAGTAGTATTTACCCTCTTTGGTATACAGTTCTACGAGTTTTGATAAATGCATAGACCCATGGATCGACCACCACAATGGAGATACAGAACAGTTTCATCATTTCTCAAACTTCCTTTGTATTGTCCCTTTGGAGTTAAACCCCCCCCACCCCAAACACTGGCAAACATTGATCTGTTTTCTGTCCCTACAGTTTCGCCTAGAAATCACTTTTTAAGTAATTCAAATCGTAAGCTGACAAATCTGAGTTCCAATGGCTCCCTTTCAATCTTTTCAACATAAAGCACAGTCAAGTGAACAATATCCTGGAGGCTGAGGAAGTGTACAAACAACAGCTACAGCTTTGAGTGTGGGATGGAGTAATCAACATAATACTGGCAAATGAGAGACATCAACACACTGTTTCAGTAAGGAAAGGACAACAACAGGAACCAACATGAAATTTTTAGATACTAGGAATTTTTTATAAGGAGGGAAAGTTTAATACCTGAGCAAGCAGCGGTCCTCGGATTCGCCTCAGAACTTCAGATCCATCCCAGATGCTGGAATTGAGACTTCCTGGTTGGGGCTAAGGAAAAAGGAAAACACACACAGAAAGTCTGCAACAGTGTGGGGTCTCTGAGCGACTTATCTGCTTTTGGTAAACAAGGCTTTAAAAAGAGCCTCAAGTGCTCGAGAATAAGAAACGTAGTGTTCCAAAACATACATTATTCCCCAACTTCATCTCTAAAATTGCTATCATCAGGAATTTTATTAACAATTTTCTATGGCATATGTAATTCTCTCAGGATAGTAGATGAAATAAAGTGGCAAAGCTCAACACTTCACTTTAATGGTTTTATTTTTCCTTTTTCTCCCCAAATCCCCCAGGTACATAGCTGTGTATTTTTAGTTGTGGGTCCTTCTAGTTGTGGCATGTGGGATGCTGCCTCAGCATGGCTTGATGAGCGGTGCCATGTGCACGCCCAGGATCCGCACTGACGACACGCTGCGCCATTGCAGGGGAGCACGTGAACTTAACCACTCGGTGACGGGGCCGGCCCTGACACTTCACTTTAATCATTAGTCTGCCATAGCTCTCAAATCAGAGTAACTTACTTGCAAAACTGGCCTGGTCTGCACAGCCGTCATGATAGCTGGATCTTCTAGTTCATTTTCAATCACCATCTTACTGAGCCTTTCTGCCAGATTCTCCTCATGGTCACCCAACAAGTCCATCTCATCCCTTTCTCCATTGCCTGTTTGTTCATTAACGGCCGCTGGGAGCTTCTCTTCCAGTTCAGCCAGGCGCTCATGTGCTTCCTGCCAATCATCATCTATCATAAAAGGAAATCATACAAAAAGAAATATGGCTCACATTGGAACTAAAAGGTTTTATAAAACTCTTCTGTTAACTAAATGAACAACTCCAATTCCAGAAAATAAGTAGAAAGTTAAATTTCCACTTGGAGATGAGATAAGAGGGATATTAAGTGGGCTTTTCACTATTGAGAACAAATAACATCACACCAGGAATAAAATTCAAGCATTTAGAGTAACAGCTTAATACATTACCAATGGTGTCCAAACTATATTCCGAAACCGATTTCTAAACTGGTGATAGAGATGTCCACTCCAACCTACTGGTTTTGAGATTCTGTGACATTTCACGCAAAAACGTAAAAGGAAACTTAAAACTCATTGCACTAGCAGACAACTTTCTCTTAGCTCATAATTGCCATCTTCTTTACAAGTCTTTAAATCCTTTCATTTCATTCAATTAATATTTGTTGAGCAACTGGTAGGTGATCAGCACTATTTTAGGTGCACGGGATACAAGAGTGTATAAAACAGACAAGGATCCTAGCCCTCCTGCAGCTTTCCTTTAAGCAGAGAAGAGACAGACAATAAACAATAAACATAATGAATAAGAAAATTAGGTACTATATTAAAAAATGAAATGCTACAAGAATATGGAGGGAGAGAGGCAAATTGACAAGTTTAAATAGGATGGTCAGAGGTATGTCTCACTGGGAGAGCGACATTTGAGCCAAGAGTCAAGAGTAAGTTAGCCACGTGGCTATCTGGGAGAAGCATGTTCCAGGCAGAGGGACAGTCAGTGGAAAGGCCTTAAGATGAGAGACAGACAATTTTCAGAAACAGCAAGGACTGTGTTTGGATTGGAATGATCAAGGGGGGAGAGCAGAAGAAAATGAGGTCAAAGTAGTAGTTAGGAGGGAGCTCCTTCAGGACCTTTAGAGCCACTCTGATTGAAGGGGGGGCCACTGGAGGTTCTGATGTGGCTTGACTTTTTGAAAGAAATCTCTCTGGCTGCTGTGTTGAAACAGATTTGGGGAGAAGAAGGGGCAGCAAAACTGGAAGCATGGAGACCTGCCAGGCAGCTACTGCAATATGCCAGGGCAAAGGTGACAGTGACTTGGACCCAGGTCACTTCCTCTTCTATTTTAACTATGTCTTTGCTATTCCCGCACCCTACTGTATAGTCTGTGGCACTGGCACGAGGTTGTTGGCTCGTTTTTTATGCTGACACAGCATTGTTTTTGAGTCCCGCTATAGCAGACGCAAGTCTTCAGGACCCTTTATCAGCTTCTCTAGAACTAGACCTTACTCCCATCACATCTCTCATTCTAGCGCTCTGCAATCTCTCCATTCCACTCTGCTTCCATCACAAAAGCTCTACTCATTACTTTGCTCCTTTTCATTCAAATTCAGACACCCTTCCCTCCTCACTGAAGCTTCCCCTAATAACCTTTTCATTTTAATTCAACCTTCACCTCATCTAACCATGTGCTACTTTTGAATCACCTGAAAAAACCTACGTACTTTTTTGTATACGTTATATATTTTACTCTTACTTTAGTTTTGTTTTCTATGGCCTATAAAATTCAACAGAGAGTGATAACAGGTAATTCCCATTATAACTAACATAGAAACACAGAATTCTGAAAACGTGTCCTCAATGACAATCCTCCTCATATAATTTTTCTATATATCTCATTAAAACAAAGAAGATGGAAGAACAGGAAGCACCAAGACAAGAAAAAAAAAAAAGCGCCTGTTACATAATAAGGTATAAAAAATGGCAGCCACTTAAAAAAAAAGTTTCAATTATTGACAATTTTCTGAGGGGCTCATGTGCAACTTGTTAAAATTATCTTTATTCTTTTTTCTGCTTACAAAGAAAATACAGATTTGTTAAAAAACTTAAACATCACAAAAATATGTAACTCAGAAAGTGAAAGTTTCTCATAATCCCACAGTTATGTTAAGTTTTTTAAAACACAAACTGTAACATTTAACTTCTTTTTATTTAAGCAATACGTCTCGGACATCTTTTCTTGCACAAACACAAACATATAACTACTGATAATATTATCTCATTCTTTTTAATACCTATGTAAGATTCTATTCTATTGAGAAACTAATTCAATCCATCCTTTACTGATGGAAATTTGGATTATCTGCAAATTTTCAATGTAACGATTAATAATGTAATGAATATGATATGTATCTTAACATCTTAAGCAAATATTTAAATAGGCTAAGTCTTTTAGGGTCAAATTATAAACAGTTAAAATTTGCTATTTTTATTATATAACATTGTGTCACATAACAGTAGAGATCCAAAAAGCAAGGAAAGTGGGACTCTAAAATTTATAATTTGGTATGATCAGAACCACTGTCTTGTCTTTGGGCACTGTGGTAGATCTGAATGTACTACTGCGGTAAAGGAAAAAATCCACTTTAGATGAAAATTACACTATTTATCAGTTATCTGAAAAAATAGTCTTAAAGAATAGTGTAATTAAAAATGAATTGTGACATTGATATTTGCATCATCTTTGCTAAGAAAGAGTAAGCTGAGCAAGTTTTTAAAGGACAAATCATTTTTTGCCATTTTACTAACTCAGCAATGCCAAAAAATGAGTCTACAATCCTGAATTAAGGGGTTGCTTTTACATTTATTTCCCCAATTTAGGAAGTTAATTTGCTGATAGATCAATTCTAATGCAGCAGAGTTCCAACTTGTGTTGTTTTCATTCACCACTTCCTGTACTCATGTTTACTAACTTTACCAGATCCTACCACAGATGAACAGTCTATTTGTCCTTAATAATACATTTTAAAAAAAACACTGGTTAAACAGCCATATCCTGTGTGTATGGCTCTTTTGTGAATTGTTACTTTTTCAAACATGTAAGCAAAGGAATCTATGCCATGGAACACCACTATCATTTTAGATTTTTCTTGCGCTTGTGAAAAATCACCTGAAGCAGTATGTCAGAGATGGCATGCCCTTACTGTAAGAGGGTACTTCACTCTGTATCTTGTTCAAATGATATAAAAATACAGTTACTTAGATATGCCAACGCTTGACCTCAATCCACACTGGCCAAAATGATAAAGGGTAGGGAAAAGAATAACAGAGAAATGGAGGGAAAGAGCTAGCTGTTTCTTTCAACTAATTAATCTACACCCTGATGTGGGTTACTGAATACCTGGCTGCTCTTATAAACTTATACTTGTAGTAATTCCTCTGAAGTCTGTCTCAAGGATATTTCTGAATAAAAACAAAATGAAAAGGAAGTAGAGGTGATTTAGTTTTAAGGCAATTTCAGTCCCTAAAGATTATAGCAACTATTAATAAAAGGGAGTATCAAGAATGGGGAGCCCTTTCAAGTGGAGGCAGGAGATTCCCAAAGATTCCCCAAAGTCTGTTTAAACATAACTGGTAGTCTATACTGATTGTATTTATAGTTACTTAACCTAGCTGGCACTTTCCTTCTTCATCTGTTACAATGAGGATAATAATAGTATCTACCTCACAAGCTTGCTGTGAAGACTAATAGTATATGTAAAACATTTACAATAATAAGCACCTTGTAAGTGTCAGCTTTTATTTTTAGAGAATAAGTTGAGGTTACTGTGGCCCATTTATTGTTCTAAGATGATACAAACACTTTTCCATGCAGAAGAACTAGTTTCTTAAGGAAGGGTGACATCAGGGCATTTGCAGCCAGTGACTTAAAATAACTACTGTACTAACAGGTATTATTCAAGTCACTTACTCTTTGAGTTAAAAACCATGAAACCAAAACATACGTCAAAGGTCTGACATTTTACCTCCTGGTTTAAATTCTCTACACCAGCTGTGTATCTACCTGTAGAAGTGTATTAAACAAGTCACAGGTTGATTTACATAGCAATTTTCTTTTTATAAACCGGTATAGTATTCATATCAAGATGCTACGAGGAATTAAGATTTTAACTTTACACTTCTAGTATATTATACTCTCAAAGGAAAGGGTTCATATTTGGAAATCTCTTCTCCATTATAAACTTTGTTGACCAAGAAGTCCTTCTTAATCACCCTTATGCTCTGGCGTACAAAGTGGGCCAAACATAGGCTAATTCACTCTCTTTACTTTTTACTACCTGTTCTTTTACTGTGTAACCCTAAGGGCTTTTTCAATGCGTGTGTATGTTTCTTTTTTTCCATCATGTATTTTTTTCCTGTGCGCTTTAACATCCTTTTAAGGCAATATTTTCCCCATCTTGTGAGGAACATAGAAACTCAGAAAAAAAGACTGTCCACAGAGCTCTGGAAGTCAGTGAGAAGGCAGGCCTGTTCCTCTTCTGTCCAGGTTCAAAACTGAGAACTAGAACATTTCCTACGCTGCTTCATCTTAATATAATACCTATAAATCAATTCCATCAACTACTTTTTAATACTGAGGAATTTGCTAAAAAATGGTAACATTTGGCATAATATTTTAAGAGAGAAAAAGTTCCAGAAACAAGCACACCATGTTTGTAGCTTCCATTGTATTCTATAGGTTATTACCAAAGGAACTTCCAAATAAAATCTGCTGTTCACATCACGTGCCTGCTTTTGTAATTCTACTCTCCGTCCCTTTCCCTGTGATCTCCATGGAGAGAGAACAGCATCTTAGATCATATCATCCTCTTGGATGATCTCATCTCCTAAACCGTGGCTATGCTCCAAAAGGTCTTCGGTTCCCTTCTGCAAGGAGTCTAGCTTCTACCCTAAACACTTCTCCTGCTGCTCCCAATACTGGAAGTTTTAGATCTCTACTGAATTTTGTAAACTGTGACTGACAATAGTATACTCTTTCATTTTTGCCAATTCATTCAACTCAGTCTAAGCTTTAACAACTTTAAGCTGTTTAGATCACTGCAAAACCAGTAACTAATACAACACTTTTAAGACTCTTATTTGTTTTTGATATTCAACATCTTGCAATTTCCTCTTCTTCTTATTACTTAACTTTGATTATTTGTTGCATAGACAGAAGTGCTGTGATTCCAAAGAAAGCATAAATATTTACACATTCCAATCTATATACTGTTATTGCTGCTTTTCTACACCAACAGTCAATGCAAAAATATTTGCACTGACTCTTACTTATTCATTTCTTTTAAAAGTACAGTTTAATTTTAACTTGTTCGTATACTTGTTCTAGGATCTCTAATTCTCAAACTTTACCATATAAGCTTGCTCCCTAAATTTCCCATCTCAGTAATTTTAAACTCTGTGCTAAGTTTAGTTTGTTTCTTTAACTTTTTAACCTTTTCCAAATCCTAGAATATTTATCTATATGGAGGGGTGGGGAAATTTCATCTATGAACAGCACTTTTCTAACTTATATAGACTTTCTATCACCAAAATTCTAGGCATAAAAAGCTTTTTATTTTATTGAAGATATAAGACAATAGCAGGGTCATGCAACATACTATTAACTGAATTTTAAAACATACATATCTGAATCTGCGTTTTCTCCTAGTCCAGTAGTTTTCCTTAAGTTACATGTTCTACAAATAAAAATTTTCTTCTTCTAGGGTTATGTTAAACCCTTGTAAAATGTCTACTTCTCTAACCATGTGAATTTCTTATACTGTCAACGTAGAGCCATAGATCATATAGCCGGAAGGGTCAGGGTTAGAGAACACCTGGTTTTATAACCGAGGCAAAAAGAAACCAAGAGGGGGCAAAGTAGATGCTTCCAGTGAAGACTGGACTATTACTGATTGACAACAGGAATAGAATGCCAAGTCAATGACCGAGGTTACTCCTCCTAAGACAAAGCACTTACAAAAGAGAGCATTCGAAAAGAGCAAGAGACCAAGATGACATTATAAAAGGAAGATACCACTTACCAACTGCACCTGACCCAAATGTATCATCATTAAATTGATCAATCTCTTCATCTTCCTCTCCCAGGCCCTGAAATGCATCTTCATCTTCATCCAGAGGACAATCCTCCAAAGACTAAAAAAAGAGAAAAGAGATTAGCTATTCATGAAGTTCACAACCTCATTTTAAGTGTTCTAAAAATGTTCATCTTACCTTCCCAATTAACAGAATAGCTTCATTATGACTTCTTGTAAAGATGGCATTTTTTCTATCCCCCAATTTCCCTGACATTGCAAGATTTCAAGATCTTCCTTCCTTCAGTTTCTCTTTTCTAGTCCTTATGGCATGTAACCTTTTCCCCCAAACGTTCCATTTCTCCATTTATCAAGAATCTAATAATAGCATTTCCTCATGCAACCAAGAAATTAGGGCTGCAACTTCCTTCAGTGGCTCCTTTCAGATCAGTGGTTAGAAGAGTAATGACAACTGAAAACGAACACTATTATTTTACACTAGTTTTATGTATGTTTTTCAACAAAATTCTCATCTTCCCCATATTCATGTCACCTTTTCAACCATTTTTTAATTCCCTTTTAAAGCTTTCTCTTTACTTTCCATCCTTCTCCCCTTCTGTTTCCTATAAGCCCCAAATTTGGTGACAAAACCAAAAGCTAAACTTTCAATCACAATTAAGTCAATGCTCCAAAAACTGTGACATGGCAAGTTCGAGTTCTAGCTCCACTTTTACAAGTGGTGCGAACTTGGGCAAGCCACATTCTTCCTGATTAATTAATTAAATACCTCTCGAGCGCCTATTGTGTCTCAGGCCCTGTGTTAGGCTCTAAGCCTCAGTCTCTTAAGTGGTAATGCAAGGACAGTACCACCTACCTCAAAGAGTTGTTGTGAGGATCAAATGAAGCAAAAATTTACGCAAAGATGGTGGCTTGCTGAACAATGATCAGATATCACTGTAACAACTTAGGTGTGTTCTATTTTAAATATTTTCCCCTTCCACTTCAGTCAACTGATGTATTTCCCAAGTTTTCTTTGGCAACTCTGCCTACCGCGTCTCTTCTTCTCTCTCCATGTTTACATAAAGTCAGTTTGGTCCTGAAACATTCCTATCAAGTATGTGTCCCTAATTTTCACAGACTCAGCATAGGCATTCCACACTCTCTGGGCACACAGGTTTGCGATCTACCTTGCATGGCTACCTCTTAGCCAGGCAATTCCAAAAATTTAGGTCAAAGGGCCACTCTACCCATCTTAAGCCCTCGCAAACTTACACAAAGCAGGCATGCAACGGCCTCCAAATCAGAGGCAGCCTCCAGCAGCCACTCCCTTCCAAATCATAAAGATCCACTTAACCAAATCACTTTTTTAAGTTGGAAAGACTTTTAGGGATCATTTAGACCAGCCCTTTCATTCCACAAATCCAGAAACTTTATGTCCGGAGATTATGAGACGTTCAAGGTCAAACAGTGAACTAGTGACAGGGTCAGGACACTCGACTGTTGCTACATTCCCGGGACCGTCACCAAACCCACGTCTCCGTCCACTCGCCCAGAAGGAACTTGTGCCGGACACGCCCCCTCCCAACCCGGAGCCCTCTTCAGTAAACAGTCTCCGGCCCCAGTCAAAGGGCAAGTCCAGGCCCCCTTGACTCCGATGGCTGCCTGTTTGCATGGGTGTGTGTAAGCGGAGGGGAGGTGGTTCCGGGTCCAGGGCGGGAAACGTGTCTCTGGGCTTTCCCGGGTGACTCTTCCTCAAGAAGAACCCCAGGGTAGGTGCCATGCACTCCCCTCCACGTTCCCGCCAGGGTAGGGGTTGGGGGGTGGTCTGGTTATGGCACTTAACGGGCCCTCCCCACCCCAAAACAGAGGCCAACTCTCCCCAGCAGCAACTGATAGGTCAGTCCCGCCCCCTGAAGGCAGCTCACAGCCCTCGGATTACCCCCGCGACCCCAGGCCCGACGCTCTCCTCTCGGTGGCGCGGGTCCCGGCGCCCGCCCCCTCCCCCCCAGGGGCGCGGGACGCACACGCCGGGGGTGAGAGAAACAGAGGGGCGCGGGAGGGAGGGAGGGGTCACTTCCGGTCGCAACAGCTCACCTCGTAGCGGAACATTCTCGGGGAGGGGGGGGAGGGAGCGGGGAGGGGAATGGGGAGGGAGGGAAGAAGCGTTGACTCTCCGGGCTCCTCCGCGCACGGGTCCTCCACCGGCTCGCGACCCCTGGCCGCCGCCGTACGCCTGAGCGTGCGTGGGGACGTGCGCAGGCGCGCCTCGGGGAGGGCGGCCGCCCCGCTCGGCGCCCGGCGGTGGCGGCTGCGCCGGGACTGATTTGGCGTCCGGCTTCCTAGTCTCAGCGGCGGGAAGGAGGTCCCGTGGCGAGAGACTGCGCACGCGCTGCCCGTCGGGGGCTTCCTCGCGAGCTGGACTTGCGACAGCTCCGCCCCCCGCTTCTCTGCGCCCGCCCAGCGCTCAGGGCCGAGTCACGAGTTTTCCGTCACCGACGGGGCGGAGAAAACCCTTGTGATTGTCACAGGATAAGGCTTTGAAGAGTCCCAGGCTGAGCCTGGGCTGGGAGAAATGGAGATTCCTGGGTATTTATCCAACATCCACCGCAGCCTTCGGGCTGCTCGGCGGTCCTCACCGTGTACCATATGCGCCGAGTGGAGGGAAAAAAAAGAAAAGTTGGGGTCTTCGAAAGGGGGTGAATTTGTCGCCACTTTCAACTGCACGTCACCCCCTGAATCAGCGGCAGGTCAGGGCTGTGATTTACGTATTTCAAAGTGATGACGGCGCCCGTTCTTTTAAAAAGCCGAAGACGTTTCAACCAGGAGGTTGAATCCGGGAGGTTCAACCACGTGATATTTTTAGGCGCCAGGTGTTCCAGGCACGTGGAGCGGGAGAGCCCAAAAGGGCAGCAACAGGCGTGGGCAGCAGGTCATCGAGGCTGAGGAGCGCCAGCCTGGCTGCGCCCCTGGGTGACACCACTTCCTTAGAGGATCAAGCCCAGAAAAGAGTTTGTGCGGGTTATAAGCCTGTATACCCTGATTCCAGAAATCTGGTGGTTGGTTAGCTCGGCTAGCACCTCCCAGGCCGTTTCAGCCCGTTGAGCTCACGGAACTCTCTCTTTCCCCTTAAGGACTAAACTTGCGCCGTGTAGGATTAATTCTTGTGCATTTCGCAACTCCTTTCTCCTGGTGTCTTAGAATGCAGCCTCGCCTACGAATAGCACACAGTGAATTCCTTACGTGTTAGTGTGACTGGATTAATCAGAGCCCAAGTACTGGAAACTTTGGATTTGGCAGTAGAAGTTCTGGGTGGGAATCAGTGCTTTGTCACTGGCGATCAGATTTTGGGCAAGTTCTTTAAACATGTCTGAGCCTTAGTTTCTTTTGAGTTTCATCATACCTGCCTCAGAGTGGTGGTTCAATGGCATGATGATACTAATACTACTAATAATGATTGAAGTGGGCCTGGCACTCTCCTAGGTGCTTTATATGGATTATTTCGAATTTTTCTTCACACACCAACCCCATGAGGTAGGTAGTGATATTTTCTCTATAGCCAGGAACCTGAGGATTAAAGACATTAAGTAATTTACCCCAAACCACCCCTTGGCAAGTGGCAAAGCTGGCAGCTGAGGTCTGTTTGATTCCAAAAATCCAGTCTCTTGATTACTGTGACAAGTTAACAAAAGCAGATGTTTACATGGGCCACGCCCGAATCTTAAAGAAGTGGGGCAGGCCAAGGGTAAGATGATAATTGGTTTTGAAGCATTCATGGAACATTACAAAACTTCATGTACTAGGTAACAGCGAGTCTTAACAGTGACCAAAGAATGGGTGCCATATAGATAGACCAAGGGTTGGCAAACTATGGCCCACAGCCAAATCTGGCCATCCCCTGTTTTTGTAAGGAAAGTTTTTAGGATTACAGCTACTTTCATTTATTTACATATTGTGTTTGGTTGCTTTAGGGCAACAAAAGCAGAGTTGAGTACTTACAACAGAGACTGTTTGACCAGCAAAGCCTAAAATATTTACTATCTGGCCTTTTAGAGGAAGAGTGTGCTGATTTTTGATGAGGCAGATCATGTTTTCTGATCATTATGTTAGAAGTAAGAAATTAGAAAAAACCACCACACTTCTGATCCATGGACTGCTTAAGAAAACAATGGAAAGTAGAGAGTATTTAGAACTGAATGGTAAACACGTCAACATAAGACTTTTAGGATACAACTTTATATACAGTTTATATAAGAAAATAGGAAAGCCTGAAAATAAATGAACTATAGGATAAACTCAAAGAAAGTAGAAGGAAAGAAAGAATGAAGAACAGAAATTAAAGAAATAGAAAACAAGGTGTCCTAGAGAGGATCAACAAAATTACCCATTTTTTTCTCACACAACGCCTGTCTGTGAGGGAGATTAATGAGGGTCACTTTGAGTGAATAATGTATTTTTTTGGGCTGTGTAATAGCCCCATTATTAAGATGGAGAGTGTACAAATTCTTTGCACAAGTGATTCTTTAGAAGTAAGGTATGGGCTGGCCTGATGGCATCACGGTTAAGTCTGTGTGCTCCGCTTTGGTGGCCTGAGGTTCTCGGGTTCAGATCCTGGGCACAGTCCTATGCATCTCTCATCAAGCCACGTTGAGGAGGAGTCCCATATACGGAACAGAGGAAGATTGGCATAGATGTTAGCTCAGTGACAATCTTCCTCAAGCAAAAAGAGGAAGACTGGCAACAGATATTAGCTCAGGGCCAGTCTTCCTCACCAAAAAAAAAGGTAAGGTATGATACCTCCAGAGAGTGTCCCTTGAGTAGGTGGAAGAAGAGTCAGTTCCTGCCTGCCAGGTAGGCGGGAGAGGATTTAGACAGCTGGGAGAGGACATCAAATAGAGAAAGCCACCAAGCTATCTTTGGCATTGTCTTTTCTTTCTCCGGAAGCTGTAAATAATCCACTGTGGTATTTATAGACTCTCTATGTTCTTTTTAAAAAAAATCATGGTAAAGAAAAAACCCATAAAATGTATTTTCTTGCAAGACTGGTTTCAGATGGTATTAGAGTTTTACAGTACTAATTTTCATTTAGTGGTGTAAAACGCTCAATCAGTGGTTCTCAGCATCATCAAGAGTGCTTGTTAAAACAGACTGCTGGGCCTGGTCCTCAGAGTTTCAGATTCAGTAGGTCTGAAGTGCGACCTGAGAATTAATTGCATTTATAACAAGTTCCCAGGTGATGCTGATGCTATTGGTTCTACTTTGAGAACCATTGGTTTAAGACATTGTCCTTGAGTGTTTGCAAAGGGATATAGAGGGGGGGACAAAAGAGTGGTGGGCTGCCCAGGTCATTCCTCTTGTATTTAATAAAGTTGTTATAGAACTTTAAACAGAAAGTTTACAACAGAAAGTTATAGGAATGCTTGGTGCAACAGATCTTAGGACAAAAGGGCTAGCCATATAATGAAAATAAAAATTTACAAGGTAAAACTTGTGGTGGATTAAACAAGGCCACAAATTCTTTGGCAGTTCTCCCATCAAGAGGTGGCTTCTAGGGCCAGCCCTGTGGCCGAGTGGTTAAGTTTGCGTGCTCTGCTTTGGCGGCCCAGGGTTTCCTGGGCACCAACATGGCACCACTCATTAGGCCATGTCGAGGCAGCATCCCACATGCCACAACTAGAAGGACCCACAACTAAAAATATACAACTATGCACTGGGGTGATTTGGGGAGAAAAAGGAAAAAAGAAGGAAGAAGATTGGCAACAGTTGTTAGCTCAGGTGCCAATCTTACAAAAAAAAAAGAGGTGGGTTCTATTTCCACCTCTCCTTGAATATGGACTGGACTGCGACTACTTTGCTCAACGGAGTATGGGAGAGGTGATGTTACGCCAGTTCTGCATCTAATCTTTAAGAAGATTGCCATTAGGAGTCCATATAAGATACCTAATTACCTCGCTGAAGAGATCCCATGAAAAGGCCCTGAAACTCCTTGGAGAGAGAGAGGGTGGTCCAGCTGTATCTAACTTGCTAGCCGTCCCAGTCAAGACATCAGACTTGTGAATGAAGCTGTCTTGGATTCTTCAGATGAGCTCAACTATGAGCTGAATATCGTTGAGCAACCAACCCCATTCAGCACCATGTGGAGCAGAAGAATCACTCAGCTGACTCTTTCCCGAGATCCTGACTCGTAACATCATGACATATGATAAAATGGTTGTGGTTTTAAGCCACAAGTAGTTTATTACTCACTAATAGACAACTGGAGCAAGTCTGTTTAGAAAAATTATTCAAAATTTGGAAATAAGGAGAAAGGATTAGTGTGTCCCCTTTCGATGTTATGACAAGACCCTTATCTAAGAAGCTTGTTTAAGGTTCATTTGAAGTTCTAGGAGGAGGTAAATTTCAAGTAGTATTTACTGTTAATGAGGTCCCAGACTCTGTAAAGTTAGATATTAATTTGTAGAAGCTTGGTAAATTGCAAATTACTTTTGCCCAGTGGAGGTGATTTCATTTTGGGAAAAGATAATCCCAAAGGGAACGTTTTATTGCCCTGCCAGACATTAACTGGCTTTATATTTAACTTTTGAGTCTTATTCTGGTATTTTTTTCCCTCACTATGTATAGTTCATAGTTTCTCGTATGCTCTTGAACCAGCTTTACCATCCTGCTGGTTCTCTCATTAATGAGATAAATCTTTGACACATGCTCGTAATATATTTAAATGAGAGTCATGTTTTTAACTTTTTGAAAATTATACTTTGGCAAACTTATTTATATTGAATATTAACTTTTTCAGGGGATTCCATTCAGTACCTCTTTTTTGAGAATCCATTATGTAAAAAGTTGAGACTGTGTCATGTAAAAAGTCATGAGCAAAGCCTGAGTAGTTTATTAAGGTATAAATTAAGTAGTATATTAGCTTCCTATTGCTACTGTCACAAATTACCACAAATTTAGTGGCTTAAAACAACACAAGTTTTTTCTGTTGTAGTTCTGGAGGTCAGAGTCTAAAATGGGTTACAGTACTATGTTCCTTCTGGAAGCTCTAGGAGAGAATTTGTTTTCTTACCTTTTTAGCTTCTAGAATTTGCTTGCATTCCTTAGCTTGTGGCCGCATCCCCCATCTTCAAGCCGGCAGCCTAGCATCTTCCAAACTCTGTTGTTACCTTTTTCTCTCCTACCCTCCTGCCTCCCTCTTATAAAGATTCTGTGATAACAGTGGGGGCACCTGGATAATCCAGGATAATCTCCCCATTTTAGGACCCTTAATCACATCTGCAAAATCCCTTATACCATATATGGTAACATATTCATGAGTTCTGGGGACTAGGACCCGGACACCTTTTGGGGGGGGGCGTTTTTCAGCCTACCGCATGTGCTATGTATGAGCCATTGGTGTATCCAAAATCATTTTTGGTGGTAGTATAATGAGAAAACGTTTTAAAATTTAAGTATTTGTTTTGTATACTATTTAAAGATGAAAAATTGAAGGTTTCACTAGGTGAAATTATGAAGGATCATTAAAAGGAGTATAAAGAATGAGTGAGAGAACATGCAGGCCCACCCTCCTCCCATGGATCCCAAAAGGGGCAGCTAGTGCTGACCAGGCCTTGACATCAAGAATGGATTATAGGGACCTCCCTCTTCTATTAGTTTCTGATTGGCTGTAATTTAGAAGTGAGGCAATATGTTAGTTTCCAGGGCAGATCATCACATTGGAAGATAAAATCAGAAAGCCAGTTTTGTACATTTTATGGGTTACTGAACTGGTAAGGGGGGGGGGTGTCTTACAGTACCATTGCTTCCATTATTCCTTTTGATTCCCTGAGTATGGCAGGGCAGGGATGGCGCATAGGGAACTATTCCCCTCATCATTTATCTCTATGAACAGGAAAGGGATGATGATGCCCTCCTTCCTGGGCTCTTCCCAGGGAGAATAAGTAATTGAGGGCAGAAACTGTATAGTTTTTACTGAGCATTTTATTCTCACCACATCATCTACTTCAGCACTTAGTAGTAATTGTTCAAACATTTCTGAGTTCTTCTTTTAATCACAAGCCATTATTTAGAAAAGAAATGGCAAAATAAAAAATTAGCTCTACTTACGGATTCATAGGAAATGTCTTCAAACACTAAACTTTGTAGGCCTAGGTGCTCTTCAAGTATCCTTTGGTATCTCCTTGCTTTGGTTTCTTGTGGTTCCTTGTGTAGGATCACCACAATAGGATTGAGTGGCAGCATCTCATTCAAAATATATCCTTGCCCATTCTACTGACAATAGCTGATGCTAAAGAAATGGGGGTAGGATAGAGGGAGGACTAAGAAGAAGGGTAGGGAGAAAAGGAGGAAATCCTACAAAAACTTAAACAGCCTCAGCTGCTAACTTCCTGTCCAGCTTGGCATCCCCTGTGCCTAAGGCTTGCGTTAGCGTGTTTCTTGCATTAGTCAGACTTCTGTATTTCCCCACACCTAAGTGGGGGAGGATAGGTCAACTTCTAGTTTCTGGCCTTTTCCTGGGGCAATGGGGCAAAGCAAAGAGAGATTCAGACTGTTCCCTGAGATTGCTATATGGGGAGGACCTTGGCTGTGTCTATTTCTTTGGGAAAACTTTGCAAGAGGAAGACAGGCTTGTTCAGCAAAGTCTGAAGATTAGTCACAATGCCACGAACACTATTAAGTCTTAAGGCATTCTCTTAACAACCATACAGAAGCCTGATGTAAAGTGCAGCGATGTTTAAGAACTCAGGCACACTTGCTGCCCTCACCTATTAGCTGACATTTAAGACAGGAAAATTTTGATAGAGGAGATGCCTGCATTATGATTTTCTTTTGTTTCTTTCCTATTCAGTGAGTTAGGATACTTATACAATGTAAAACACAAGACATTTAGGACTGTGATGATTAACTTGGGATGTTGCAGGTACCTAATGCACATAAGAAACCATCCTGAATTTATTGGATTAAAGTAACAATAATGATTTATTTCACTAATGAATCTGCGATTTGGCTAAGACAATGGGAACAGGTCATCCCTGCTCCAGGCGGCATCAGCTGGTACTGCTTGAAGGCTGGGAGTGACTCAATGGTTGGTTGCTGGAATCATCTCAAGTGTCACTCACTATCTGGCAGTTGATGCTAGTTGTCAGCTGAGACGTCAGTGGGGTTTTCAGCCAGAGCACTTACATGTGTGCTTTCTTTGTGGTTTCTTACTTGCTTCACAACATGCTGGCTGGGTTCCAAGAGCAAATGTCCCAGAAGGGCCAGTTGGAGGTGTATCCTCTTTGATGACCTAAGCTCGAAAGTCACATAGCATCCCTTCTGCTGTAGTTACAGACTCACCCAGATTCAAGGGGAAGAAAGATGGACCCCACCTCTGGATGGGAAGAGTGTCACCATCACAATTTGAAGAGAGCATGTGGGAACAGATAGGTCATTGCAGGCATTTTTGGAAAATACGATCTGCCACAAGGGCCAAGCAACAGGAGACAAGGCTTTTTGGACAAGATAGGCTAAGAAACCTCTCAAAAGTCAAATCTTACAAGATAAATATTTTTCTCCCCTTAAGAAGTCACCACCACCAGCACTACCTGTGTTTATTATAATGGTGTACGAGGATGAAACAGAACTGGAGGAGACTTGGGAAATCGCTGTAATTTTGGAGCTTATAAAATCTTTGGTAAGGACGTGCCCTGATCTCCATGGTGAGGTATAGGCTATATGCATATAAAATCTCCCTAAAATTCAGCTTTTCAATGGTTGCTGTGTTCATTCCAATCACTCCCGAGACAATGAAGGGGTGTTCACTAACACCCCGTGTTAGTTATCTAAAAAATTACCTCAAAACATAGCAGCTTAAAACTAAAATCATTTATTATCTCACAAAGCATTTGAGGGTCAGGAATCTAGGAGCTGCTTAGCTGAGTGGTTCTGGCTCAGAGTGTTTCAGGAGGTTGCAGTCAAAATGTCAGCTGGGGCTCCAGTCATCCGAAGACTTGCCTGGGGTTGGAGGATCTGTGTCCAACATGGTTCCCTTACATGGCTGTTGGCAAGAGCCATCAGTTCCTCCTTGACTGTTTATAGGCAGCCTCAGTTCCTCACCCTGTGGACCTCTCCATGGGGCTTCTTGATTGTCATAGGGACACGGCAGCTTCTCCCAGAGTGAGTAATCTGAAGAAGAGGCTGCAGCTGCAATAGCTTTTATGACCCAGTTTCAGAAGTCATATGTTATCACTTCTGCCACATTCTGTTTGCTAGAAATAAGTTACTAAGTACAGCCCACACTCAAAGGGAGGGGAATTAGTTTCCACCTTGCAAAGGGAGGAGTATCACAGAATTTGTGGACCTATTTTAAAACCACCACAGCCTATTTAAAGGCAAACTCCAGACCTTTTTACCATGGCAAATTTCTGGAAAGATAAATAGACTCTACTATTTAGACATAAATGATTAGAGAATATCAATGATGCAAATAAGGCGGTATTAGTGCAGGAATATACAGACTGATTTATGGAACACGGTAAGCAGCCAAGAAACAGAGCTTAGCATAAATGTGCCTTTAGTATGTATCAGAGGACATCTCAGTTCAATGGGAAAAGGAGACATGATATGAAAATTGTGCTGAAGCAATCGATAACTTATTTTGGGAGAAAAGTTAATGCCTTGTAACACAGCATACAACAGAATAAATTCCAGAACGATAAATGTTTCATGTGAAATTTTAAAGATAAAGCAGCAAGAACAAAATACGCTTGAATATAGTGTCTGTTTGATTTCAGAATTTATTTATTATAAAAATGGAAAAATCACAAAGCAAAAATTTGAATACTGAATTCCATAATGGTAAAGATATATGTATGTATATAAAATCATTAGGAAACTTTTGAAATATTTTCCACGTGTATTGTAGAGACAGCATTGACATAAAATACAAAGACTTAAAAATAAATCTTAAAATTCTTTAAGCATCTTAGAAAAATCCACAAAAAATTTAAATGGCTATAAAATATATAAAAGATCAATTTAATCAATAAATGTAAACAAGATAAATAATTGCCATTTTAAAACCATCAAATTGACAAATAATAAGAAAGAAAGAAAAAAAAGAAAAGGAAAGGAAGGAAGAAAGAGAGAGAGAAGGAAGTGGGAGAGAGGGAAAAAGGAGGGAAAGAAGGAAGAAAGATAGGAAAGAAGGAAGGAAGCAAACCAGCCCAGTGTTGACCATGAAATTATACGGCAAGTACTTTTGTAAATAGTTTGTGGGAGTATAAATTAGTAGTCTTTCTGGAATGCGATTTGCTAATGTGTAAGTAGGGCTTTAAAATATTTTAACCCTAAGGAAGTAATGAGAGTTACACACAGTGAATTATATGTAAGGATGTTTATCACGGTGATACTTATAATAGTGAAAAATTGGTAGACACCTAAATGCTAATAAAGATAAATGGATATATTACGGCAATCATATTTTAGAAGGCTCCTTCAGCATGGCAGATGTTTGTGTCAGAAGTTAGAGAATGAAGCATGGTATAAAAGCTCCTCATAATATAATATACATAATGTGTATAGTACCCAAATATTGTCTGAGGTTTGTTTTAATTGGTAGAGTTAGAAATGATTTTTCAACTTTCTTTCTACTTTGATGTTTTCCAACTTTTAAAAATGGACATTTACTATATTTATAACTGGAAAAGTGTTACTTTAAAAGTAGAACCATAACAAGATTGGTTGGCAAGAACAGAGAAAGGAAGTTCTCATACTAGTTCTGCCAAACAACCATTAGTCCCTTCACCCCTTCTTGAAATTTCCCATTTGGAATGAGAAGAAAATGGAAGGAAGATCCTGTTTCTAATTTTGAAGCACCACCAATTACACTTTTTAAAATAGCAATACATGCCAGATATTTATGTATCATATTTTTACAACTTCTCAACACTGATTGGCCTCACAATAAACAATTCCCAAGACTCAGTCCATAGGAAAGAGAACAATAAGAGTGTATGAGTGGAAACTTGAAGAATCACTCCTGCTCTTCGAGGGAAACTCAATTATTCTACAAATATTTATTGAATGCCCAGTAAATACAAATATCTGTATAGCATTGTGGGGAGATAACAAAGAAGTAGGACCGTTCTTTGCCATCACATAATTCAATAAATATGTATTGAGTATCTACTTTAGTGAGGCACTGGGGATGGATCAGTGAACAAAACAGAAATACTTGCCCATCAGAAGTTTACTCTGTCTTATTTTAAATGACAATGTCTTCCTTTCAGGAGCTACACTATATTTGGAGCTAGAAATAGGAACTGGGGCATGCAGAAGAGGTAAATCCAATTCCCCAAACGTTTACGTCATCTGATCCCTGAGTTTATCATTTTCTGAAGAAGTATTTCCTGCCATTTACATGACCCCAGAAACTCTCACATTTTTTAGTTCAGTAAATGTCTTTTCATTATCTTACTTAGTGCATCTTTCAGCTCCTTGTTTCTGATACTGTAGATCAAGGGATTCAAGACAGGGGTGACAAAGGTGTAGACAACAGACACCACACGGCCCATTTCTGGGTTGTAACTAGAGCTGGGGCGTAAATAGATGAGGCTACAGCAGCCATATTGGAGGAGAACCACAGTCAGATGAGAAGAGCAGGTGGTGAACGCCTTGTGCCGTCCCTCTGCTGAGTGGATCTTCAAAATGGCAACCACAATGAAGAAATATGACATGGAGATCAGGGAAAAGGGAATGGTAAGGATGATGACACTGGCGATGAAGATCATGGTTTCTTGCGTTCGAGTATCTCCACACGCCAACCGCAAGATAGGGAGTACATCACAGTAGAAGTGAGTGATTCTATTGTGGCCACAAAATGGCAGATGGAAAATCAGAACTGTCAGTTGTAAGGCTACAATGAAACCAAGGACAAGGGCTCCCACAGCCAGCTGGGCACACAGCCGCCGTCTCATGATGAGGGTGTAATGCAAAGGATCCCGGATAGCTACAAACCGATCATAAGCCATGATCCCTAAGAAGATACAGTCAGCACTGCCCAGAAAGACAAAGAAGAACATCTGTGTGCCACAGCCAGTGAAAGAGATGGGTATTCTCCCCATGGTCAGGAGGTTGACCAAAGCCAGAGGGGCAACAGTGGAAGAGTAAAAGATCTCCAGAACCGCCAGGTTGGCCAGAAAGAAATACATGGGAATGTGAAGTGAACGCTCTGCCCAGACAGTGAGAAAGATTGTCGCATTACCAATGAGACTGCCGGTATACATTAGCAGGAAAGCCACAAAAATAAACATTTGTACCTCCAAGATGGGTGAAAATGGGTGAAAGTGGAACTGGATCTCTATGGTTTGGTTTTCATCCCCCATAAAGTGGCACATTGGGTTTTCTAGGACAGAAAAAAGAATGTGTTAGGAAAGAAAGTGCTGTGTGCTTTAGGATGAGGGTGATGATACTGTTTTAGCTCCTATAGCTTTAATAATTTTGAAGATGAGTTTATGCTGGGAAGGTCACTCTCTGTTCTTGCTTGTGTTTGTCAGCTCGTATTTTCAAGAGAGTTGGCTGGGATTACCTGTAAAGCCTAGCACTATGAATAAGAGCCAAGTTAATTTGCCCCGTGTGGCAGCTGAGCTCAGGACTTTGACTTCATTTTTGTCTTGCAAGAACCAGCTGAACTGATAACCCCTGAGCCTCTAAACTTATACATTGTGTAACAATAATATGCTGGCCATCAAGTATGAAGTCCTGATGGTCTTGATTCTAAGACCTATAGTATACATTGGGGTCATATTGTCCCATATAAAGGATGCTCCATTTTTCTTGGAAGGGTTGTCTTCCTCAAGAGGAAAAGAGGTCAGCTTGTGCCAGTTCAGCAGCCCTGAGCACAGTGACTCCATTACTGATCTATGGTTGCAGAGAAAGCTTTGAGCCTTCAAGTACATTGGCCCTTAGCTATAGGCACAACATCCCCATACCTCTTATAAACTTTCTCTATGCTTCTAACCAAGAGTCAAGAGAAGAACAGCAGTTTTAGAAACTGCATCAAAATAGACTTCTAGCTTTGGTGAGTTTATAAAGATTCTCCTCACCATCACAATTGGACAATGCTCATGTTCTTGTATGTGGTAAAGTATCAAGTACATATCTTGTACATCTTTCTAAAACAAACTTTTATTCTATTTTATGATAATTTGCTTTATATATGTCATTTCTTCATAGATATATAATCTGCTGCAGGATAAGGACTGTATCTTATTCCTCTCCCTCTAATGCCTAATATGGTGGCCAAGAAATGTTTATTGAATGAATAAATAAGTGAATAAGTCTTTTACACAACCTGGGTATGTTTACATTTAGGCCAAGCACATGGTTTTGTAATGTGTAACTTAAGGGTTCGTGGAAGGAAAACACTCCTCTTACAAACCTGGTACAGCTTAACTCCTGTGTGTTTAGAAAACATTGTCACTGAAGATTTGCCCATCTTATCAGTACTTATAAGATTGACTTTAACTAATCCAGCGCTCAAATCTCAAACTGTTTTCCTCTATGAGGAAAATATCCTTTCTCCATCTCCCTGAATCTATGCTTAAAGGAGATCAGGCTAATGTGCGTTTCTGGTCTGGGCACTGCCCTGCTCGGGCCTCACCACTAAAAGGGACTGAACATTGAATATAGAGCTTTCTCTAGACTACTGGGAGTGAATTAGGCTAGAATAGACTCTCAAAGGAAGACTAGAGAATTTAAAACAACCAGGGTCTTGTTTCAGTTGCTTTGTAGCTGCTGTTACACCCATAAACATTCCCTTCAACCAACAATCATCACAAAGGAAGTCACCGAAACTCTCATGCGTTTTGTTAATTTCCGCTTGGATCTGGGTCAGGCTCATCCTTAGACATTCTAAGATGTGTTAGGATTTGAAGGACCTTGTAAAGACCCTCATTCATAAAATCAATTTTTTTCCCTGGTAAAATTTACCCAGCTAAAATGACAATGCGAGCTAAGATGGAGGGGGGTAGGGGCATAAATCAAGAGGGTCAGATATAATACCATTTTATCTGTGAATAGCACCTTACCTGATTTTATTTGCCAGAATCAATTCAGCTTCTCTTTCAGGCCCTGGAAACAGGGAACATTTTAGAGCACTGTGCATGTGGGAGGAGGGAGTGACATAACCTGAGCATGAACCTTGGAGAATGACTAGATGTCTTATAGCAGCTCAGGGACACTTTTTTTAGACAACTTTCTGTTTTTTCAATGTATTTATGTTCCACTATCTCATATAATTTTCTTAAAATGTGCAGGAGGTAGGAAGATAGCTATTAATAACTCCATCTTGTGGCTGAGGCACAGAAAGGGTAACTGACCCATTATCTTGCAGTGATTCAGAGGTAGAAGAGAGGTTAGCATTTAGATCTCCTTGAACTTATCAATGATTACATAATTACATAAATATTGTACATAGAGAACTGAAAGCTAGCATTTAGATCTCCTTGTACTTATCAATGATTACGTAATTACATAAATATTGTACATAGAGAACTGAAAGCAGGAAAAATGATCCTCAGGGATTTTATATACTATTATATCAGAATAAGAACTCATGTTGTTTATGGTAAGACTTTCACAGGGTCATCAGTACAGCTTTTGAAAAATCAATGATGATAATAGCTAGCCTGTAATGACAACACCACGAGACACCATACAAATCACTTTCTAGTCATTACCTCATTTTATCTTGACAACAACTTCACCAGATAGCTGTTAATATTATTTGTATATTGAAGGTGAAGAAACTGAAGTGCACAGAGATAACGTTGTCAAAGTCACACAGCTGGTAAATGGCAGAGCCAAGTGATGGTCCCAGGTCTACTTGATTCCAGTACTCAAGTTTTCAACCCCACTAAGCTTAACTCCCAATGTTGTGGACTAGTGAGAATGACTGTGTTTTCAGGAACCAGGGTTGGTGCTTTTGATGTCTGTAACAATAGCTTTAATTCTGAGTATATCTGAACTCCTCATAGGCTAAGCCGAGTCTCACCCATGTCATTTTTATTTGATTCAGTAGTAGCCCCAACCATAGAAACTTTGTAGATTCACAGAATTAGCTAGAAGTTCTGGGTGGAATTCTCTTCATCTTTTCTTCTAGGATCATTAAGGCTGTTCTTTCAATATAAGAGCCTTGACCTGGGAAAAGCTATTTGCTGGTTTGTCCTGAGTTCACTGGGGGGTCAGTGACAAGATCATAGCTGGTTTATGGTCCTGTGACAAGAATCAAGCCAAGATTTACGCAATGATATAATAGTATATAAAATCCTTGATTATCATTTTTTGTTTGTTTTTTCAGTTCTTCATGTACAATACTGTCTTCCTGCCGCTGATTATCTCCACAGGACAAAGTGTATGTACGTTAGTGCAGCGTTGTGATTTCTCCAATTTGAGCCAGGACAGTCTAGTCCCGTGAGGGAATCCAGTGACCATAAAAGTATTCCTAACTCCATCAGGAGTCTCCTGTGTATCTTTCTCTTTCTGGATTTTAATTACTGTAATTGATGATTTAAGGTGTTTAAATTATATTTTCTCTTATTTCACGTTCTCCAAGAAGGAGGGGCTCACGTCTCTCATATCTTATGCATACAGTGGTACACTCAACAGCTGTCCTAGTCCCAGAATACATGAATGAAGGAAGGAAGGATGTCTTACTTATATGCTAGGGAGAGGGAGAATATGTAGCATAGTCTGGGAGATTTTGAGGTTTCTGTAAGGACTAGTTCAATGTAGGGTCTTATTACCATCCTCATAAGAAATAAAAAATAGCAGGGAACTTCTCTAGAACATCCTGAATCTTGGAGCCGGAGCCAGAGCCAGAGCCAAAAAGATCTCCACCTGATTCCTTTGGACCACACAGATATGTGTTTAATAATGGGATGTTAAGAAGTAAGCCGATTTACCCATGAAATGATCATTGCCATTCCTGTGACTAGACACATAGCCTCTCAATTCTCTTCATTCTGAGGTTATCAGATGTTTCTCTGCTGTGAACCCAAACTTGAAATCATTCAATGCACAGTAAAACCTTTCTGATCCCCTTTGTCTACCTTCACTTGGACTAAATTGTGAGACCAAGGTCCCATGATAAATGGCAGGTCTATAAGTCACTGATTATCTGGATAGAAAGCCAAAACTTAGATCAAAATTCTGTGGTGCTGCCAGTCTTCCAGATTTCTGCAGATGTTACAGAAACCAAAGACAGAGACAGAATTTTTAGGATTATTTTGGTATTATCAAGAACTCTGATGGTGTATCTCCTTTACTATAATCTGTATTTGTATCTGTATAGTTGGCTGTTGAGCACAGAGGTAAGGAATCTGACACCTTAAAAGGCAGCTAAGAGAGATGCTGGTGTTGGGTGAGAACTTACCTTGCTCTAGAAGGATGAACCTATCTTCTAATCCAAGTGTTATTTCTAAAGATTTCCCTCAGTCTTTGAGCCTTTAAAACTCTGGCAGGGATGCTTGGGATCAATCTCCTGGGTGTCGCTAGATCCCTGCCCACAAACAAGCGCCTGGTGGTGGCACACACCGTGTCACTGCTGCTCCTTCTCAGTAGTCAGACTCACCTTCAGGAGTTCCTGTCAAATCAAAGCATCCCTTCAGCAGTTTTGCATCTTGCTCTGTTTTGGTTGAAGTGAGTTCAGAGCTTGGTCCCTAGAAGTGTTCACAATCCACAAGGAAAGTTACATCATCTACAGTGGTTTATAGCTCTTAGAAATTCGAAGCAGCAAAAGCCAAAGACCTTTGTCAGCCACTGTTTAGCAGCTTTTAAAGAGCAGACGTACGTTTCATTGGTACTTTGCCTTGATGATGTCATCCCCTTTCTCTAATATTTTAAAAATTGTTCTTAGGGTGTTTTCTATGATAGTGTCATTAAGCCAGAAAACAGCCAGAATAGTCTTTTTTCTGTAGTAAAAGCACTAGTGTCATTTTCATTAAAAAAATCAATAATATGATATCTAATTACCTGATAAGGAGTTAAGAGTTTGAGTCAAACACCTGATTATTTTGCTGCAAGCCCCTTGAAATTTTGAGTGATGAAGGCAAAATTTTGGATTAACAGACTATTCTCATAGCTGTTCTGATATTCTGAAGTTGTGTAGACACAACTCGAGGGCATGTCTATAAACTTCTGAACTCGTTATTATTTCTTCTCTCAAAAATTGATGCGATATTACCACCACCATAGGGGGATGCTGCCATCATTTTCAAGGAACTTAGAAATTTCCTTTATTATAGAAGGGGGAAGTTGGAGAAAAAAAGAGATGAACAAATTCTTGTGGATTTGAAAAAGTACTCACTTAAAAATAATGTGAAATATATGTAAAATATGCATATATCAAATAAGTAACATTTTCTAATGCCCTTGCATTACTTTTTTATTCTAACACTATCTTGTAAGGTTGGGATTATCATTCTCATTTTACAGGTAAGTCAATAGAGAGGCTCACTCAAGCTAAGTAATGTACAGTGCTTGAGCCAGGGCTGATTTCTAGGTTTCATAACTTGAAGTCCTTTTTCTTTTGTTATATTAAATTGCCTTTAATCTGCATGTTGTGGCTACAATAATTGCTACTACTTGTTATTGATATTAGGCTCTATAGGTTTAATTTTTTTTTTTTTGAGGAAGATTAGCCCTGAGCTAACTGCTGCCAATCCTCCTCTTTTTTCTGAGGAAGCCTGGCCCTGAGCTAACATCGGTGCCCATCTTCCTCTACTTTACATGTGGGATGCCTACCACAGCAATGGCTTGCCAAGCGGTGCCATGTCCACACCCGGGATCCAAACTGGCGAACCCCAGGCCACCGAAGTACAATATGCAAACTTAACCACTGAGCCACTGGGCCATCCCCC